AGCTGCTTCAAAGTTTGGTGGGCTCGTTCAACAATGGCCTGTCCGGTGGGATTATGGGGAATGCCAGTCACGTGCCGTATGCCGAATTCGGCAAGGAAAGTCGCGAGAGAGCGCGAGCGATAAGCGGGGCCATTGTCCGTTTTAATTGTGTGGGGGAGACCGGCTATGGAAAAACAATATAGTAGATGAGCACGAACACTTGAGACATTTTCACGAGGTTGAATGGAGGCCATAAGGAAGCCGGAATAAGTGTCTATAGACACATGAATAAGGGTAGTTTGAAAATGGGTCACATCCATTTGCCACAAGGCATTAGGTGCTTGACCACGGGGATTGTAAGTCGGTATAGAGGGTGGTGGTCGAAAAGGAACACAATTAGGGCAAGCTCTCACGATTTGTCTGGCTTGCTCTCTGGGAATGCCAAACATTGTTCTTAAAGTACGAGCAGAAAGGTGTAATTTCTGATGAGCCGAGTAGGGTGTCATAAAGAATACATCAGTAGGGGCTTGTTGTAAAGCCGCATCCGCTACGGCATTGCCCTGATATAAAGGCCCATATGGGCCTATATGAGAGCGGACATGAAGTATATAAATCGGTGTAGTTCGGCTCAGCAGATGTTGCTGCAGTCGTTGAAAGAGTGGAAGGACGGACGAAGGTGACCGTGTCAAGGCAGCATCTGGTAAATGCTGGAATGCATGATAACAGTACATACTATCTGTGATAAGATTAAAAGATTCTGTTGCTAAGAATTCACAAGCGCTGATAATGGCTGCTAATTCATTCTGCTGAGCAGAATTGTAGGGGGTAGCATACACTTGTAAAACCTGTCTTTCTGGGATATAAAAGGCTGCTTTTAGGTGTTTTGTGGCGTCTGTAAACACATTTGGTCCCTGCACTGGTTCTGCAGCAATTATAGTGCTAGGACGTTGAAGGGGAACCGCTTGCCACAAACGTAAAGCTGGGGGTAACGTTAACGGTAGAATGGTGTGGGCAACAAGTAAGACCGCCCAAGCTTCGCTAGTCAAAGCGAGCTCCTGTAGCACCTGAGGGGTTATATTAAGAGTTATAAGAGGTTCCTTACCGCTAATTCTTCGTGCCGTGGCACTTGCTTTTAGCAGTAAGCGAGCTTGAGTTTCTATTCTATTAGGGAGTGCTTTCTTATCTCTGTCTGGATAGACCCACATAAGCGGACCGTGCTGTTGGTAGATTACTGCCAACATGCCTTTATGTTCATCTTGTAAGAGAGTGAGGTAGAGAGGACTTTGCAAATCCCTACGTTGTAACTGCTGTTTACACTGCTGCTGAATATATTGAATTGCTTCAAGGGCGCTCGTGGTCCATTGTCTGGGAGAAGTTAAAGCAGAGGGCCCTTTAAGGCAATCATAAAGTGGCTGCATTATAGTATCTGAGATAGGAATCACTCCTCTAAGCCACTGTATAGCACCAATTAATCTTTGAAAATCATTGAGTGTCTTTACTTTGGAGGTATCTATTTGAGGCCATGGACGATAAATGGCAGTCTCAGTCACTTGGTGGCCTAGGTATGAGACTGGATCGCCCTTTTGTATTTTCTCAGGAGCCACTTCTAAACCTGCTCGTTCTAGCATTCTTAGGCATTGCTGTAATATAACCTCCGTTTCCTGAGTATTGGGGCTGGCTAACAAGATATCATCCATATAATGGATGATCATTGCTTTTGGATAGGCCTCCCGGAGGGGCTGGAGAACGGCTTGTACAAAAGCCTGACACATGGTTGGACTGTTAATCATCCCCTGAGGGAGGACAGTAAACTCAAAACGGCGATAAGGCTCTTGAAAATTCGGAGATGGAATAGAGAAGGCAAATTTTTCTGTATCCTTCTCTGCCAAGGGAATGCTGTAAAAGCAATCTTTTATATCTAATACTGCAATGGCCCAATGTCGGGGAATCATACTAGGTGTGGGGAGCCCAGGTTGTAAGGCACCAAATGGGTATAAGGCCTCATTAACAGCCCTGAAATCAATGAGCATCCTCCACCTTCCTGATTTTTTCTTAATAACAAACACAGGTGAATTGTAGGGACTCTGTGAGGGCTGTACGTGCTTGGCCTGTAGTAGACCGTTTACTATATTATTTAGGGCTTCAATCTTCTCTATAGTTAGTGGCCACTGGTCTATCCAAATTGGTGTTTCATGTTTCCACTTAAGGGGAATGGGTTGTGGCCCCCCAGTGGCCCACATTAGTTTAAAGGATCAGTAGTCAAAACAGCTCCCATTTGCTCCAAAATGTCACCCCCATAAAGCTATGGGCACTCCTATAAGGACATCAATGCATTCTTCCCATGTGGGGTCTGGTGGTAACTTTGACAACAACCCTCGTGACTGTTTAAGTCCTTCTTTGAAAAGCTGTATCAGCAGCTTTTGGGCAACATCTCCTGCTCCATATCTCTTTTCCACAACCTCTTGTGCTCGGGACGCAAATTCCATGGCACTTTCTTTTGGCCTTTGCACGAGTTTGTTTAAAGGAGGTTGTGATTTCTCCCCTAGTCTATCCAATGCTCTTAGCGCCACCATCTGGGCACCTTGTATAACAAGGTCTGGGAGTAAAAGCTGTGCCTGCAGCCCAGCATACTGGCCATACCCAGTTAGCATATTAATGGTATCTTCTACATTCTGAGGGAAATTAACCTCCGCCCAGGTCCTAGCCTCTCGGCGTCTGTACGCTGACCAGGCGGTGTAAGCAGCACTCTCTAATACAGCAGACATAATTTCATCCCAATCCCCTGGGGTCCAAGCGGCCACAGCCACAGTAGATTGCAACAGCTGCTTGACATAAGAAGAGCCTGCTCCATATAATTTAGCCGCCTCTTTTAAATCTTTCATGAACTTATAGGGCACTGGTCGGTGAGATCGACCACCTCCTCCGGCTCCTCCTTGGACAAAAATCGGGAATTCCTGTCCCCACTCTTTCCAGTCTACTACCTGCCCATCCCTAGCGGCCTCTCGCAATGAATGCTGTAAAAGTGAAGTCTGCGGGGTCTGTTCATTCTTCCCTCTTTTATCAAGCTGCATTTGGTTTATTTGGGTCTGTAGTTGCTGTATCTGCATTTCTAACTGCGCCACAGGTGGAACTTCCTCTTTCTGGAATTCTAACTGCGCCACAGGCGGAACTTCCTTTTTCTGCTGCCGACTTGGCACGTACGGGGGGAGTGGCTCCGGGGGGAGTGGCTCCGGAGGGAGCGGCTCCAGACTCGGCCATGGTGCGGACGGGATTTCAGAGGGCTTAGGGGGCTCAGGCCATGGCTCTTCCTGACCCTCGAGGTCTTGTTCCCCTCCTAATAAGGATGTTCCTACCTGTGTCTCCTCCGCTACTATTACCGGCGGAGGGCGCGGAGAGAGGGCAAAAGTCACAATGCCATAAAGAGTAAAATCCTCTGGTTTTAAGAACCCTGGTTCTGTCTCTGCGTAGGAAGACATCTGGCTCCCAACTATTTTCCATCTTTGATAATCAATCCCTTGGTTCTGTAACCACGGGGACACCACTATAAGTTTCTCTACCCACTCCTGACAGCGTCTCAGCTGTATTTTCACCCCATTGTCCCTACAAAGTTTATAAACTTGTAGGACTAGCACTCGCTTATCCTCCGGTGTAATTTCTTTACTGTATCGTGCTCCCATCTCTCTTCTGCGCAGCCCCGATCTGCGCAGGCTGTCTGTCCCTTCCTCTCTTTCACTGGAGAGAGGGTACTTACCCGTACCTGGCGGGGTCCCCGAAGAGGAACTTCTATCTCAAGTCCCTGTTCGGGCGCCACTTGACCCGGGCTGGGCCCTTCAGGTACGCCTCCTCCCCTGGGAGCTGGGCTTCGGACGTCTCCGGACCCACCCTGGGGGAAGGGTGGGCTCAAGGACCAGACAGTACGCGAGTGTGGTGTATGCTCTTTATTGTGGAGGATCCCCCCGATCCTTTGTTCTCAGCCCGTTATATACACTTCAAGGACCCTCCTCCCGAGCCTCGTAAGACTCTGCGCCCCTCCCCTGTTCTACCCTAGAGGCGGAGCCTCCTCGTAACCGTCATCTGAGACGGTCAGGGTCTTCCACGCCCTTCCTAGGAAGCCAGGGTCCAGGACGCCCCTGTCAGCTTTCCACAGAAACTTAAGAGTTGTGTGATTATTCTAGAAATTCAGTTCACAACATAAAAATGTTATTGGTTTCATAAATTATTTGGTAGCAGCAAAAAATAGCCAATTATTGATTTTTACTGCTAAGGCTTCTATCCTCCCAGCATTGTCATTTTTTTCCCCATAGTTGAACTGAAGGTTTGGTTGCTTTCAGTATTCAAACTCATAATTAATAATAATTCTCATTTCTGCAGGACTTTTACTATAATAACATTGTTGAGATAGTTGGTACAAATATTTTTATCTTAGGGATCTGAGATTAAGTGACTTGCCCACGGTGACATAGCTAGAAAGTTGTCAGAGTCAGCATTCTAACCCAGCTATCTTGATTCCAACATTCTTCCTACTATATTACAGTGCCTTTTAAACTCTTGAGATCCACTAATTTCATTTTGTTTTCACCTGATTACATTAAAAAGATCATAACCAGTATTATTGAGTAAGTTAATGGCATGCCTTTGTGTCCATTGCACATCATATCTGGAAGGTCAAGTTCACTGCCTGTTTTTCCTATGTTTTGAGTAGCAAACAGGACCAATTTGGCTTAACACATTTTGTTAATGTGCATCTTTATCTCATTGGCCCAACTCACTATATACTTTTGGTGGCTTAAAATGTTTTTATCCAATTCTATAACATAGGAAAATGAATCTGAATGTGATAGGGATTGATTGAATTTTTATTGGAACCATGATTCTGAAAACAAAGCTGCAGCTATTGATTATCTGTACTATTGAGGCAGGCAGGGAAAGCACGGATAAATAAAAGACCAACTCTTCCAAATTTAGCTGCTATTTTTTCAGTCATCTTCCTAAAAACTAAATTTACTGCATTTGTTTTGAAGGCTGGAAGAGTGCTATTGGCAGCCCGAAACTTTGCAAATGATGCTTCGTTTGATATTAAGGTAAGGAAGATGCTTTGCTGCATCTTCATACTGAATTTTTGAGACATTTTTTCACTTCTTTATTAGTATAGTAATTTTATACCATTATTTGACTAGCATGTGTGCCAGCCCTCCCTCACTTAAATCCAGTTCATTTGCATCACCTCCCTGATGTCATGGTCTTCTTGAGAACAAAAGACAAACAACTGTGAATTGCCGCACTGGGACCCCACTGCAACTGGCCAGTTGGGCATCTTGGCTTGCTTGCTCTTTCTTCCTTCCTTCTTCCTTCCCTCCCTCACTCCATCCTTCTCTTTTTCTTTCTTTCCCTCCATATGTGTTGGGTATCATATTCTAGCCTGCGGGTGCTCTGTCCAAAGGAATGTAAATTTTTGATCTCTGAAAGCTTTATTCTTAAGAACCATGCCTTAAATCTAAATCACTTTGGCTCTCATTGTTTGACCAACAATTGTTTGGGTTATGATAGGCTCAGAGTGAACAGTAAAAGCAATTGTTTCTGTTTTGGCCAGAAACCAAGAGGGTCTTCCCTTAACCGATTGATTTTTTTTTTTTGGACTAGGTGAAAGAGGCCATCCTCTGCCTCATTTCTCACCTAGTTTTAATCACTGAATAGGCATTGCCTTAGTCAAACTGAGACCTAATAAAGACCTTAGTTTAAAAAGGTCAAGATCTCCCACTGCATCCAGGGCCATCTGCACTTGTCCTGTTCTCTAACTTGCCACTAGACCCAAAAGGCTGTGGAGGAGAAAGTGAGGCTGGTGACTTTGCACAATCCTTCCTCACTTAACTCCAGTTCACTTGCATGTCCTGAGGTCATGGTCCTCTTCGAGAATGGAGGACAAACAACAATAGCACATGTGCCTCACTGAGAAGGTACTTAATAAATGGTGGGTAAATGCACAAATGAATGAATTAACATAATCTCTTAATCTTTTTTATTTTGGGAATTTGATGGTTCAGAAAAGTTTGCTCTTAGCTAAGATTATAGTTTATTCTTCCTATTTATAGGTAGGGTACATGATACCTCTTAGTGGCTAACTAGTAAAAATGAAGGGCCAATAATAAATTTGATTTGATTCGATTAAGAAAGTGATCAAGACATTTCTATGAATGTTTCTTTAATAGTCAGTGAACAACTCAGTTTTCTTAGGTAAATGTATTTGGGGGGTCATTTTTCCTACTAAGAATTTAAACCATTTTAACATGAGTTTTAGAAAAACAGGAGATAAAATATACTGTGAAACATTTTGAGAGAAGCTACTTGGCTATTTGTCTGATTAGGTAAATTTTAGAATATATTGGGAGCATTTACAGTGAAATAAATTAAATTTCCAGAAATGTGACGTTCATCGGCTGGAGGATGAACCTCCCACCACAGCAGTTCTCACTAGAGAGGAAGGACTCAAGTATTATAAGATCATGCAGACTGTCCGTCGGATGGAATTGAAAGCGGACCAGCTGTATAAGCAAAAGATCATCCGTGGTTTCTGCCACTTATATGATGGTCAGGTGAGTAGAAATTTGGTGAGAACATAGTATTTGGTTATCTATATTGTAAATTTACCTTTGAGACCTGTGAATAGGTGTTAAAGGTTTGAGATCAGTATCTGTTGTGAATTCAGTGAGGTTTTTCAAGTTCGTATGGACAGGTCTTTTAGTCAAAGTAAATGAATCAGATGGTACCTGAGTTAATTCATTAGCAATTTAGTGGCACTAATCATTGAGCCAGGTAATGAACTGATTGTTTTTAGTTATTATGTAACTGTTTAAAACCTGACCAAAAGCATAACTCAAACTTAGGTCAACCAGTAGACACAGTGCAACTGAACCAAAAACCAAATAGTGAGAAACTTGTTAACCTAGTACACAAAGGACTGTAGGGAACATTTTTTTAAGTTACATGTTTTTATTTAAGAAACATAACACAAATTAGAATTCAGTGTGTTTATTTGGTTATTTGTTTCTCAGGCTGTACCAAATATCCACAGCTCCTGCCTTTTTTGTTTTGTTTCTCCTTTTTTTTTTTTGCCTTCAATCAGGGAATATATAGAAGTGTAATCAAGGCTTGCCTTGTACATACAGCTCTCTGTCTGCCTGCTGTTGTTCCTCTTACCTACACAACTATCTAATTTCTACTAGGGTAGGGGCATTATGTGAATGTAGAACTGTCCTGAAATGTGTCTTTGCCTTTCAAGTTCTCTTTCAAGCTATGTATAATCTGATGGGGTTATCAAGTAAAGTTCTTAGAATTGAGGCAGAAGTGAATTAGAGGTGTTTTTTAAAATACTGTTTTATATGTGCTTAATTTAAAAAATTCTTTTGTCTTGAAGTGCTTGACTCCTCAATTCTGTTCTGTAGAAATGAGAATTTGTTACTTACAGACACTGTGGGTGTTCCACATGATTTAAGAATTATATTGAGTTTGGTTGCATAGTTTTAGTATTATGATCAGCTGTGCATTTTGGGGAAGAGAGTCTTTTGGAGGACGTAATTTGGTTTATGGGAGAGAAATTTTGTGTTCTGCTATTAAATGAAAGGTTCCTGTGTTGTTCCAGATCTTTGGCAGTAACCCAATAGTCTTGCTTTTTGGTGAGGCAGTTGGGATTAAGTGACTTGCCCAGGTTCACACAGCTAGGAAGTGTCAAGTGACCTAGTAGTCTTACACAGAGAGAGAGTGCTAGATGTTTTAAAATTGCTTAGTGACCTCTTTTTTCTTTAACACAGGAAGCTTGTTGTATGGGGCTTGAAGCTGGTATAAATCCTACAGATCATGTGATTACAGCCTATCGAGCTCATGGCTTTACCTATACTCGTGGTCTTCCTGTTCGAGAAATTCTGGCAGAGCTTACAGGTTTGTTTTTAATACATTTATGAAAAAGATAAATTTTGAAATAATTATCATGAAGACCCAGGTTCTGAATTTTTTTCCCAGTGAAATAATTACTGTTATGAGAGTTAATATCAGAAACTTTTTTCCTTTAAAAACAAAATAGTTTGTTACAAGGGAAGGTTCTCTTGGTAAGAGAGTAGGGAAGGATATGTTTGCAAATTATAAGAAAGGATATACATAATCTTATCTTATCCTACATCTTAATTAACTGAAGGCTTTGACAGTATTCTAATTTTACTCGTAAAATGTCAACCATGCTTGAACTTTTCTCCAAGTATGAAAACAGACCTTTCTCTGCCAGAAAGAAATTATCAAAAGTTAGTTGCGCACAGGCATTCTATCTGCTAAATTTGAATCTCTGGGTAATTTCTCTTTTAGTCTTGGCATCTTTTATTTAATGTCATAGTTTAAACTGTTATATTTACATACGTGATTATGTGCTCTTTTATAATAGAAAAATAGTTAGCATTTCATCTCTCTTTTCCATGTTCTCTACCACAGTATATGAAATTGAATTACTCCCTCATAATTGTACATCCCTGCTTTTTATCTCAAAACTGGCATTAAAAGTGTTATCCTTGAAATGTGTGCTGTGGACTTAGCCACACTAACCCTTAGGTTTTAATAAGAAGATTTTAATAATTTTCATTCTCCAGTGTCACATATTGGGAAATATCTGAGGCACTTGAAGGCTATGCTTTGGCAGACCTGGCTGGCTGAGAAGCCTCTGAGCCATGGCTTGGCAAATGTTCTGGCCACTAGCTGATGGCTCTTAGACCATATACAAGCTATAAAAGGTTAGGATGCACATCAGGGCAGACAGTTTCTCAGTGTCATTGATTCTGAGCAGGAAGAAACCATGTCCAACCACTTCATTTTCTAGATGGAAAATCTGAGGCAGGGAGAGAGAGGACAAGTAACTTGCCCAAAGTCACACACCACAGAATAAAGCACAGTGGCTTTGAGCACAGGTCTTTTGACAGTGTTATATTGCACATTTTACGCTGTACCAACCTGAAAAAATTAGAGATGATTTGGCATATTAGAATAAGAACCAGATGTGATTATAGGTAACTCCTAGATTAGGAAGCTGCCTCTACTAGTGCAGGTTAACACCTTCACTGCAGCTTGTAGCTTTAGAGAATCTCACAGAGCACAGTCTCTTGAGTTGACTGGCTTTCGAGATGGGACCTGAACCAGGTCTTCCTGCCTCAGAGGCCCACTCTTTATCCACTATACTGTGTTAAGACTAAATCATTTTATTTGCATTACTCTTTGGTTTATTCTTTGGTGACTGACAAGATAAAGTAGAAAATGCCTGATCTTGTCAGCTTTGGAGAAGGAAATGGCACACCACTTCAGTATCTTTGCCAAGAAAATCCCATGGACAATATTAAAATGCTAGAAAGACATGACATTGGAAGATGAGCCCCTCAGGTTGGAAGAGCCTGGTGTACTGTGGGTTATGGAGTCATGAAGAGTCAGACACAGCTGAACAACAACAAAAATTGCCCACTTTGGTACATTGCAGAAGGAAAGTTCCTCACTGCTTAACAGTCTGACTTAGGATTAATTCCCCTTAAGGAGTCATAAATGCCCCTGGAAGTCCTCCTTCTCTTCATTGTGTTACTTCTTTTCTTGTCACCCTGACTCTAAAGCTGGGTATGAACAAAGAGAAAATAGGTCACATTTGAAAGCAGTATAAAGCCCTAGCCGTCCGGGCTCCCTCTGAGTGGAAGCCGGAGGGAGCAGATGGAGACTGGGAGAAGGTCCTGCTCTTACTGGGGAATTGATGCTGAGTAGTTGGATTTGGAGAGAAATAGGCAGGTGCTGGATGAATTGAATGATACTTAGATTTCTAAAGAATGGAACCCTGTAAAGACATGTTTATATCTTTCACTTCTAGGACGAAGAGGGGGATGTGCCAAAGGAAAAGGAGGCTCTATGCACATGTATGCCAAGAACTTCTATGGTGGCAATGGCATTGTTGGAGCTCAGGTACTCTGGGTCGCCAGGGTGTCTGGGATGGACCAAAGGACAGGGCCTTCTTCCTAGTTCCAATCCGGGACATGAGGCTTTTCCAGAAATTATCTGTTTTTTGGTCTCCCTGACTAAAGGCACTCCTTCATTCTGTCTCTCAGCTGTCACCTCATTATTTCTTCTCCACAGGCTCCCTTTCATCTCTAGAGTGAAATATAAACGTTTAGAGCTCTTTACAGCCTGGTCCCTCTCACCTTTCAGTCTCCTCACACTTGGCTACCTGCCTTATGGCCCCATCTCTTTGCCCTCACATTGGCTGACTCCCATAGAGCTAGTGGCTCAATTGATAAGAGCCCTGGGCCTAGAGTCAGGAAGACCCAAGTTCAAATCCAGCCTCAGACACTTACTAGATGTGTGACCCTGGACAAGTCACTTGACCTCTTTTGACCTCAGTTTCCTTACCTGTGGAATGGGGATAATAATAGTACCTACCTCACAGGATTATTGTGAGAATCAAATTGGAAAATATTTGCAAAGGCTTCGCACATTGCCTGGCACATACTAGGTGCTTTATAAATGCTTGCTTCCTCCCATATCTGAAATGCATTGTCTTAACTCCACCTTTTGTAGTCTTTGGTTTCTTTCAAGACTTGACTCAAACCCCACCTTCTCCATGATCCTCTCAATTCCCTTCAGCTGACAGGGCACCCCCTCCCAATCCTCCCTTGTGTATATGCTCATGTGTCATGTTGTCTTCCCACTGCTTAGCAGTTCCTTGAACGTAGTAAATGAGCACTTAATGAATGCCCATTGATTGATTGATTGATTTCTCCGGTTTGGAGTCAGACCCTGGATTTGAATCTGCTTCTGCCATTTGCAACTTTGGGCAAATCACTCTCCGGGTGTGTGTTTCCTCATTTGCAGAATAAGGGATTGGAATGGATGAATCTTATGATTCCTTAAGTGGCAAAGGTCTTTGTTAGTTGGGCCGTGAAGTCAACTCTTGATTTATATTTAGTTTATTGTCTGCTTTGAGTTAATCACAGTAACCTGAGATTCCTTACCGATGTTCAGAAGCTACTCAGTAGGCCCAAATCAAGCAAGGAGGTAGGGAAGAGACAAAGAAGCATAAGAGATTTTGCCTTAATGATTGATGAGCACATCTGCTTGTATTTCCAGACATCTATAAATGATTTTTGGATTTATCTTATTATTTTGTACCCTCTTCTCATCAATGGGTATAAATAATCAAGAGGCGACAGCTAATAATTTTTTGTTGTGCCTGCAGAGTATTATTTCTTTTAACATTTACAACTGTAATAATATTTAAGAAAAAGAAAAAATAACATTGCATTCACTCATGTTGTTTCTTCCATTTTCTGAAAATTGTTTTAATGGGGTCAGACGGAAAACTTGTGATATTGCTTCAATTGTGATATTGGGGTTTGATACCCCAAACTCTGTGTACAAGGTACATTTCAGATACTGATTCTTCTCTTGGTTTGCTGTGGCTCAGTTCTGTTCTTAATTTTAGGTGCCTTTGGGAGCTGGTATTGCCCTAGCCTGTAAGTACAATGGAAAAGATGAGATCTGTTTAACTTTGTACGGAGATGGTGCTGCTAATCAGGTTAGTGTATATTTGGTAATAGATTATAGTTGAATTAATTAATTGGGGTTTTTAAAGAAATTGTTTCCATTTATTACTGGTAGTTATTAGACAAAATCTGACATGTTTGGTTTTTATTTTAATATTACTGGTTTGTCTGCTTTGTTGTTTTGTTTTGTTTTTTAAATGATTAGAGAACTTTATCAGGGATTAGATAAGATCACAACCTTCACAACATCCCTTAAAGGAAATTTTGCCTTCTTTGGGGATTTGAGACCCTGGTTGCTTGATGGAACTTCTCCCAGGCCAACATTATCCTGGGAATCAGTAGTAGAATTTGGAATAAAACTTGAGCTTGAAGAATAGCTGAATTATCTTCTTAGGTTTATCTTTTCTATGGTGTGCTGTTTGCTACCTTATTTCTATAACTTTGAAAGTACAGACAGTTCTTGCTTTGTGTAAATTCGCATTAGGCAAAATCCACTTCCTGCCTGCAGAACCCAGCTCCCAGCATGGCAGCAGCAGTGTAGGGTCCTCTGTTCCAGGCACTGAAGCAAGCCCTCTGTGGGGAGGGGGAGGAGGAACAAGGTGGTGCCTCACCTGTGAGGAGATGGGGAACAACTTTTGTTAGGTGAGAATTGTCTGTATAGGTGATGCTGATTTATTTGATGAGTTACTTTTGTTGCAGAGCAGTATAGTTTTTGTTTTGTTTTGAAAGCTTGATTTAAAACAGCTGGGTTTTAGAAAGAAAGATTTTTATCCTGGGTAGAGTAGCAACTTCTAAGAATATTAGAGAGGCATTAGGGTATGGTATAGTGGATTGATGGAGTGTTAGACCTGGAGTCAGAAACCTTGGGTTCAGTTCCAGTGTCAGGCATCTACCTGATGTGATCCAGCAAATCACTTAACTTCAGTTTCTTCATCTATAAAATGAGAATAAAAGCTTCCTTTCAGGGGTGGTTGTGAACATAAACTGAGACAGTGTGAAGTGCTTTGCTTACCTTTAAATGATTATGTAAATGGGAGTTATGGGAAAATCTCAGTGACATACTTTGAACCTGTGCAATTTTTTTTAGGGTCAGATATTTGAAGCTTACAATATGGCAGCTTTGTGGAAATTGCCTTGTATTTTCATTTGTGAGAATAATCGATATGGAATGGGAACTTCTGTAGAAAGAGCAGCAGCCAGCACTGACTATTACAAAAGAGGAGACTTTATTCCAGGAATAAGGGTAAGAACATTAATTACATAGAAATCTGGTTCCAATATGACATTCTCGAATAAACATAATTCTTAACACATTAGCCAAGAAATGTAAAATTACACTGGATTTGACACTTTAATTTTGCCTTTTTATTGAATGTTTATAACAGGTAGATGGTATGGATGTTCTTTGTGTCCGTGAGGCAACAAAATTTGCAGCTGCCTACTGTAGATCAGGAAAGGTAAGGTCCATTGGATTCTTCTCCTTCTGTCTCATTGGGAAACCCAAGATTCCACATTGTATTTGCCAATCTTAGCACTGGAAAGTAACCCTGTTAGTCAACAAATTAAGACAAACATTTATTAAACCTACTGTATGCCAAGCATTGTGCTAGGCACTGGGGTACAATTGGGGAGAATAAAACAACCTTACCCAGCATTGCCCTTTTTTATTCTGAAGTCCTGCCTCACCACTTTACTGGTCCATTAAAGTCGTGGTAGGACAGTTGAGAATTTAAGATAGCCGTGCTTTTAAAATAGGCTTCTCAAATAGATGTGGGATTTGGCTTTTTGGTCCAGGCAAATTACATGAGTTCAGTAGATCTGCATTTGTCAGTAAGGGCATATGATCTTGCACCAGATCTTGTTGCCTCAATCCTAAAAAATTGTTAGGAAAAAATTGGGGAAACAATGGACTAACTACTTGACTGAATGAGGATTTTGCACAACTTTCCATGTTTGGCAGAGGGCCCAACCCTTGAATAAAGATAATACAGGTTAGCGGGGGAGAGAGCATGAAGAATGACTGCTGAAATTCCCCAAGTGCTTTCAGATTCAGTGTTTTCCAGCCTTTTTTTTTTAACCCAGTGGCTTTGCTCTGAAGCTTTACATTTTCTTTTTCTTGGGTGAGAGGTTAGGACACTCAGCTTTGGGAAAATACTTGTTTAATAGCAGCAATAAGAATGAGGGAAGAAAGTAAAGAGATTGAAAAGTGAGGAGAAATTATAATAGAGCAGAGGAGAAGCTATTACAATAATAATAGCTTACATTAATGTGAAGTACTTTATGGTTAAAAGCACTTTACACACATTCTTTCATTTGAGTCATTACACCACTGTGAGGTATTACAAGTGTTTCCACAAAGAAAGGCAGGTTTCAGCCCACCAGAAGAGACACTCTGGGCCATTCTGTTGGTGTCATTACTATGTTAGCTCCAGCACCGCCAGAAGATCCATTCCAGTGGGCCAGCTGTTGTTGCCATCAGTGTGATGTGGAATGAGGAGAAAGGGCAGTTTTCAGTGAATGTCTTCCATTTTTTCCACGAATTATGAGGTGAAGTCCTCAGCATAGAGGGAGAAGAGATGGGAGAGGCTTGAGGTCAGAAGTAAAGATGTGAAACAATTGCTGTGAAGCATAGGATAGAAAATCAATTGGGGAGGAGTAGAATGACTGCCTTGCTACATTAACAGCCCAGGTGAGATTACATAACATAAAATTGTATTCAGCTCTAAAACTTTTTCACTTCTGTGATTTTTTTTTTAGCTCTATTCATTAGCATGCAAATAAGCATGAAGGAGGTGAATAGTAGAACTAAGCAGGTCATTGTTTGGCAAGGTGTGATCAGCTATAAGACAAGCTAGCAAGAGATTAGAGAATAGAGGATAAGATAGAATTGCCAGACTAAGAACTCAAGCTCTAGGGTAGTGAGGAGAGTGTAGCCAGGGCAGAGGTGATAGCCTGGGAGAGAACTAAGGGGTGAAAAAAACAGGTCACAGGACCAAGAACATAGTTAGGGATTGTCATACATACATACATACACACACACACACACACACACACACACACACACACACACACACACACATACATAGATAGATAGATAGATAGAGATATATAGAAGTCCTCTAGTATCAGGATAGGAAGTTGGGTAGAGAGAGAGTGAGCCAAACACTAACCCCATTGAGGGAAGGATATCTGGGAGATGTTGATAGATAACAGCCCGGGGTAGCTAGATTCTAGAGGAGTCTGTGTCCTAGGGCAGACCAGCAATAGAAAAAGCCCCGGAGACCACGGAGAAGTAGGGAGTTTGATATCGTCCACAGCTTAGAGCTGCAGAAGCCAGGGAAGTCAGTAGGCAGGTGCTTGGATATTGTCCCTGGCCAGGCCCCAAAGATAAAACCTATCAGAGCTGGGAGAGACCATGAGCCAAAATTTGCTGCTATGCAGCTTTGCCTCTCTAACTGTGGCTAACATTATTTAGCTTCCTAAAACACTGGGATTTTCTTTTAGACATGTTTTATCTAGAATGTATGTGAAGCATGCTAATATTTTGATACAGTAGAACTCAGTGATTTTGAGAATACTTTCAAAATTGCTAATCAGTTTCTGGAAAAATGGGGAGAATGGTCTGCTTAGTGGAATGAATGCAGGCTTTATCTAAGCTTCTAGTACATGAATGACTTTCATATTAATGTATCATGTAACACCTGATTTCTCCCTCCCTTGTTCAAAACAAGCTATAGCTATATGCTTAAGTTCCTTAAGATGAAAAAAAAATTAAAGGCAATAGAAATTAAGTGTTAGAATTTAGAGAAGTTCCCCTAAGAACTATCACTTAAACATTCTGTAGTATGGGTAAAAATTCATTTCAGTTGAATTCATCAAGCATTTATTAAGCACCTATTATGTTCCAGGCACTATGCTAGGCATTGGGGAAACAAAGGCAGAAATGAAACAGTACCTGTCCTCAAGAAGCTTACTTTCTACTGGGGGGAACCAGTGTGTTCACAGATAAGTAAATACAAAATATATACAAAGTAATTTTGGGAGGAGGGGAGTAATGATCAGTGTGGGAGTCAGGAAAGACCTGGTATAGGAGGCAGCATTTAAATTGAGTCTTAAAAGCAAGGGATTCAAACAAGAGAGGTAAGGAAACAGGGTATCCCAGGCCTGGGGCCTAATCTCGAAAGAAAAGAGCAGGGGCTCACAGAGAAGAGAGAGAAAATGTTATGGATGAGGAAGAGCAAATATGCTAACGTGGCTAGAATGAGGGCACCTGAGTGTAGTAACGTTCAGTCAACGTGGACAGATGTCTTTGGGAGAGTAGTGCCAATCCGGGGGTGTGAGGAGTTGAGATGTGAGTAGGAGGTGAAAAACTGGAGACAGACTCCTTTTCTGAGGAGTTTACTCTACAAAAGGCTGAGAGGTACAGAAGATCACTTTGAGGGATGGCAGAATCAAGCACATTGTTTTTGTTCTAGCCAGAAACCCTGAGGCTCTTCCACTCCCAGATTGAATTTTTTTTCTTTTTCTTTTTTTGACAGGCAAACGAGGCCATTTCTTGCCTCATTTCTAAGCTAGCCTTAAATCAGGCAAACTGAGACCAAGGAATGACCTTAGCTTTAAAAGGCCAAGGTCTCCCACTGCATCTGGGGTCATCTCAGTCGTCCTGATCTATGTCTTGCCACTGGACTCAGATGACTGGAGGAAAGAGTGAGGCTGGTGACCTTGCACATCTCTGCCTCACTTAAATCCAATTCACTTGCAAGTCAAGACATTACCTTCCTGATGTCTTTGGTCCTCTTCAAGAACAAAGGACAAACAAAAACAACAATGTGATCCAGGCCTATTTGCAGGCAGCATGATTGTGTGCCTTTATCCCATGGTATTCAGCAGCGTGCAAATAGATGTAAAGGAGATTGGTGGTAGACCAGAACTGGGGTTCAGCAAGGGAATGAATGGTAGTGAGACTGTAGAGGAACATGTAGTTAACTTTAGGGTCAAGGTTTTGAAGGGAAAAAAGGACAGAGCAAGGATGATGGTTGGAAAAAGCAGAATGGAATGACTGGGGATTGGAGTGAGGACAGAAAATAGGTTTAGGTCAAAGGTGAAAATGTAAGGACTGGAATTATTGCTGGAGGAATTTTAGAGTTCTGAATTGTAGAATCAGATACTTATGTGATGAATTCAAAGAGTATTGAAAGAGTGTTTATCTGAGGTGGCATTGGCATTTAAAGAGATAGACTCTAACATAAGGAGGAAAATTTGAACAAAATAACACCAAGACTTTGTGAGATTTGACTTTTGTCAGGAATATAGTTCTGGAAGGGCATATCTCATTCAAGAGGAACAAGGTAGGTAAAGGGAAGGGCAGCTGCTTATTATCCAAGAAGAGCAGCCAAAACAGAATCCTTGTCATTGGAGTCACTAACCCCCCAAAAGTGGTGTAAAGCTACATTGAGAGGAGACGTAGGATCCTAGAGCAGGGAGGATAGTTCCACTGCACCCTGTCCTGATGAGATCCGATCTGAAGTACTGTTCTGGGCTCCACAGTTGAGCAAGGGTGTCAGTAGTCTAAGGAACATCCAAATCAGGATAATCAGGCTGGTGAAAGATCTCAAGATGAAGGAACACGAAGGTCAGTTGAAAGTACTGAAAGTGGAAAGAATTCTGAACTTGGGGTCGCAGGATCCAAGTTCAAATCCTGACTCTGCCACTTATCTGTATAAGTCACTTGATCTCCCTGGACCTTAGTTTCCTCATCTATAAAATGGGGGGTTGGATTAAATGACCTTGAAGATCCATTCCAACTCTGAGCAGTAATCCTATATTTAGCCTGTAGAGGAAGATTGGGAATTGGGGAAGTTCATAGTTTGTTTCATGTATTTTAAGACACTGGAGGGAACAAAATTAGGACTATTGGGTGGAAGTTGCAGTTTTAGCCTTGAGCTAAGGAAAAACTCTCTAACAATTGGCCTTATCCTGAAGTGGAAGAAATTGCTTAAAATGGGAGTGGTTCTTCCCCCTCACCAAAAAAAAAAAAAGTCTGCATGACTCCTTGGTAGGAATATTTAGAAAAAAATATTTAGAAAAAGATAGAGGTGGCTTTAGAGGGCCTCTGATGTCCTTTTCAGCTCTCACCTTTTTGTGACCTGCTTGAATATGGAGATGTGTAGCACTCTGCATACACAGGTCTGCTTATGACAAATATGAAAGAACAGGAGGATTTAGGATGTTGTATGTTGAGCTTAAAGAGCCCTCAGGCCAGCCAGAATAACCTCCTTTTATAGGTGAGGACACCAAGGCCCAGGGAGGTTAATACATGACTTGCTCAAGGTCGCTGTTTCTTGACATGACTGATGAGATATATCTCTCTTCATTTGACCCAAGAGATATTTTCAACACATTTCCAGTTCTCTTATTTTAATCATGTTTTCCTCACCTTGCAGGGCCCCATGTTGATGGAACTACAGACATATCGTTATCATGGACACAGCATGAGTGACCCTGGTGTCAGGTATAATAAGAGGAACTCTTTAAATGTGACCTCTAATTACATTTAAAATAGAATTTGAGAAGAGTTCTTTAGGTTTTATATCCCTATGTAGGGTTTATGTCATCACATTGAAAAGTGAAAGTTCAAACAGTTGGGTTTTCTGATCTACAGTACCAGATAATCCTTTGTGAAGTCTTCTCCTCCTGCCCCCCCCCAAGTTGAATTGGTCAGCTAAGTTATATCTTAGGTATCTGATATTAGCAAATACAATAGTTAAGGCTGAAAAAAATAGACTATTAAACTAATTTAGTTGCAATAAGATACCAGTGCTATAAAAGTTTCATATATATATATATATATATATATATATATATATATATATATATATATATATATATATATATGTATATATATATATATAAATAATTTAAAAAACATTTCCTTGTGGAGTTCTTAACTTTTAGCAAAGTCTGAGAAAGAAAATGATCTTTAAGAGAATTTTATGTGTATTTTTTAAAAATTGAATCTCTGATTTCATTCTCCATAGGAGGTTCACCCAGCACATGCTGGAATGTTTCAAAGTCTCCTAAATTAGATCTATGATCATTCAAAAAGTGTTTGACTCTACTGGGGGAAAAAAAGTAAATAAAGAATACCAGTTGTCCAGATATTGTGCAGTTAAGTGAACAACTACTGAGGGTTAGTCCGTTAGTAAATGGATGGATGGATTGGGTGGTTAATCATCTATGCAAATGGGACAGTGAGTTAAACAGGAAGAAGAGAGTAGCAATACTTTATTCTGTTTCTAGGGTTTTGTACATTGTTGTTGTGTAAAAATCACTTCCCTACTCAAAAATCTGTGGTGGTTCCTCATTGCCTTTCAGTAAATTCCTAATCTTGGCATTCAAATCCCTTCACAATCTTATTGCAGCTTCTTTTTCCAGTCTTATCCCATACTGCTCCCTCAGATCAAATATCCAGTCAAACTAAACTTTGTCCCCCACCAGCCTTGATCAGGTTATCTCTGGAATAAACTCCCCTACTCACACAGTCTTAATCAGTTGAAATCCTTTCAAGGCTTCTCTACCACACTGGTGCAAATGGCCTTTCCTCAGATTTCTCACAGTAGTTCACCCTTCACTCACTCTGTTATCATAGTTATTGCATACATGTTCCCCTCACTCCTATACCTCCTCCTTTTAGATTGTGATCCCCTTGAGACTAAGGGCTAAATTAATACCTCTCTGTACTCCTGATTGTTGCTGAGAACAGTTTTTGCAGGTTTCAGGGAAGAAAAAAATGCATTTTTCCCTATTTGGGGGTCCTGTGTGCCCTCAGAGGCACAGTAATAGGTACTTATTTCTCTGCTATTATAAGATACATGTATAATGGACCATTTCAGTGAGTTGGTTGTTCATCCAACTGCACAACTACATTCTTTGGCCACTATTTTTATACTCCACTTGAGTACCTCTAACGCTCCTCCTAGACCCATAAATTCAGAAGCACAGCCCTCAGATGGAAATGACTGGGAAAAACCAAGATAATTATCAGAATACGTGTGGTGATGGGGGTAGTAATTTTTATTCTTTCCTCAGTAGTAAGGATAGTGCTTATCAAATGTTTAGGTCAGGTTCTCTTTCCTTGAGTTATTGATTTTTCTGACAAATGAAAATGTAGTCAGCATTTGAATTATAATGCCATCTATTTTTATAGAAGACAGCAGTATTTCTCAGAATTTTTTTGTCCTAATATATTTATCAAACATATGTGAATTGTATTTTACAAAGCTATCACCTCCTACCCTGGAAGAGGGTATTTTTTTTCTCTTTATAAAAATAATCTTTGTTTTACAATATAGTTATCGTACTCGGGAAGAAATTCAGGAAGTGAGGAGTAAGAGTGACCCTATCATGCTTCTCAAAGATAGAATGGTGAACAACAACCTTGCCAGTGTTGAAGAATTAAAGGTAAGATCATGTTACAGTAGTCTGTCGTTACTGTTTGAGTGATTTTGCCTTTCTTTGTTCCTGAGTGTGAATGCTTAAGAGGGGAAAAAAGAGGTTTGAGGTTGCCTAAATCCTGGAAAAGAACTTCATCAGGCCTAAAAGAAATCAGAAAACTAACCATTTTTCTTTTTTTTTTTTCCTTTTTGAAACCGTGAAACCTTCCATTTACGCTCTTGCTAATGCTTAAATGACAGTAGAACTTAATAGTAAGAAAACCTTGGTGATAGAGCAAATGTTCAGCATCTTAGATTCTTACATAAAATCACAAGAATATTTCAGTTGACTGAGGCTATAAATAAACAGTGTGCCATTGAACTAGCATTAATACAGTCTGCTTCCAAAGTCTCTTTGGAAAAGTGAACAACTGACCGTTTTCAAAAATGGTTTGACAGATAAAATCTAACTGAAAAATCTTCTTGCATCTAGTTCTTAGTATGAGCTTATTAGCTTTTTTATTTTTAATTTGTAGAAATACCATTGGTATTTCTACAGTACCAATGGTACAGAATAAGTACACCATCCCTTCTGACTCATAGGTTCCCAAAGCAGCAATACATCTCCTGTCTTCCAAATAAACACAAAGTGCAAGTTATAACCAATCAGTGCTGAAGGCTTAACAAGCAGGTGTTGACAGGAGAGGGGTATTGCATTGTCAGGAAGTCCAGCATGCATCGGCAGGAATATGTGTGTGCCATGACTTGTTTACAATATGATACTGTACAGTTACATGACACAGTATTTTGTCATCAGAATTTCAGTCCAGAAAAACCCCCACAAATTTACAATAAACTAAGTTTAAGATGTGTAATTTTTTTTTAAGTGACTCAAAAAAAACCGTTAAAGTAGATTTCCAGAGGGCCCAGAGTTTTTTTTTTTTTTTAAGGAATGCAGTAGGCCAAATAACCTCTGCTGCTTAATCAACAAGCAACTGATAGCACTCCGTACATAGTAAATGCTCAATGACTATTGATTTAATCAAGTGTTCAAATCCTCTTAAATTTAAAAGGAAATTGATGTTGAAGTAAGGAAAGAGATTGAAGATGCCGCCCAGTTTGCTACAGCTGATCCAGAGCCACCTTTGGAAGAATTGGGCTATCACATCTACAGCCGAGAGCCACCTTTTGAAGTTCGAGGTGCAAATCAGTGGATCAAGTACAAATCTGTCAGCTAAAAGGAAGTATGTGTTGAAACTTATATAAGGTCTTTAATGGAACTTTATCTTGTCAACTCTAAGAAACTAAGTGTTAGGGATGAACCTCCACAAACAAACATTTTGAATTGTCATTAGAAGATATCAAATTCGGGGCAGCTAGGTGGTACAGGGGATAGAGCACTGGCCCTGGAGTCAGTAGGCCCTGAGTTCAAATCTGGCCTCAGACACATGATACTAGCTGTGTGACTCTGGGCAAGTCACTTAACCCCTGTTGCCTCACCAAAAAAAAAAAAGATGCTAAATTCATTACCTTAAATTCAAAGGTAACTAGTTACATCCATGCTATGTTTGTATATTATGTTAATTGTTCTATTAAAGGAACAGAACCAGTTAATTAGTTTGTGTGGTTATTCTACAGTTTAAGCCTTTTTTTAAAGATGGAGATTAGAAATCATGACTGATTTTATTAGAACAATTGCATCTACCTTTATTTTCATTTTTTGGAAGGATGAAGTGTTGAATTTCATTCCCAAATAAATCATGCTTTTAAAAATAACAAGTGGGGAAAAAAATCAAATAATTTACTTTCTTTTATATATAAACACAAAGATGGTTTTTCTCTTGAAAATTATATATTTACATTTAAATTTCAGGTTTTTAAGTATAATAGGAACTATTCCTTTGCTAATTATATGCTAATAAGCCTATCTTTGTAAAACTACAGTACTAACAATTAATGGTTATTTTATTATAAGAATACCTTCTCTTTCACTCTCCCAGCAAGTGCTATAAAATGCAAATGTATATATTTCAATTAGTAAATTAAAATTGTTCTTTAAAAAAGTCAGGATACACTGGCATATCTAAACCAAGATTCCTTTAGGATACAATTTTTATATATGTTGTGTCTACGTATTTATTTCAGTTTTCATAAATGTATCATTATTACATATGTTCTAAATGACATCCATTTTTGTAAAATAATTATCTGTTTAGAATTAAATTCCTAAATTGTTAATTGAACAGTAAACAATTGAACAGTATTGCACAAAAGTAGAATTTGTACACATATTTACAAGAAGTTTAACAAAGAAAGATGTGGAATGTTTTAACATTTCCACAGTTATTTATTATTGTTTTGTTTTGTTTTTTACTGTAATTAAACCTGCTATTTGATTTGTGAGGGTTCACAAGCTTGCTGTCTGTGCTTTGAGACTGTGTTCCAGATTCTGCAGAGAAGACCACCACTATGAGGATTAAAAAAAAAAAAGTTCCCATTAAGAAGTTATTTTGAAGCAGATGGACAAATATGTACTGTTCTAAAGGTCATTCTTCTTAGCTTTTGAAAACTCCTGAGGGTGGGACCCTCAGCATAGTGTTATGTTGTAAAACATGATCCCCAATTTTTAAATTTTAACATTGGTTAACATGTTCACACTTAGTATAAGTGATTGATCATCTAAAGAACACATACTCTGGTAGTGTATCAATTTGCCTTGACTCAGCTGTGAGAAATAGATTTATTTTTAATGATATATCTTTCCCTCCCCCAGCCAGTTCTACCCCTCCTCCTACATACAGGGGAGGGACTAGTGGAAGATTACGCAGGGAAAGTATTACTGCCTTTTATTTTAAATGCCTATTTGTGTCCTTCTACCTGTTCTCCCCCTATCCCTAAAGAAGATGGATGTATTTGGTGATGATTGGACTAGGATTTTTCTTTTAAGATCCTAAATTTCTAAGCTGAGCCATTGGTAGAGATGAGAATTATAGCTTCACAAAGTAAAAAGATATGTTACAAGTACTTAGTCTTAGCAATGAAAAGAAAGTTATTCCTTACCATCCCCCACCCAGTAGCATGGTTTTTAAAAGGGAGCCTCAAGGATCCAGGGAACTCTAAGGCTTGATGGCTTTATGAAAACCAACTGTTTGAAATCTTCTTCCTCATCTGTTGTCATTATCTATTTGCAGATGATTCCCATATTGATAGATTCAGCCATAATCTCTGGTGCCCCAGTTCCACATTAACTGCCTAGTAGACTTTTTGAACTGGATGTCCTGTAGGTATCTCAAACTCAACCTGTACAAATGGAATCCATTGTCTTTCCAACCAAGATTCACCCCTCTTCTGAACTACCCCATTAGTATCAAGGGTACCATCATATTTCTAGTTACTTCACAACCTTGTAGCCATCCTGGACTTGTAACTCACCCCATCTATCCAGTCAGTTGCCAGATCTTGTTTCTGTCTATTCTCACAGCCACCACCCTAGGTCAGGGCCTCCTACTACTGCCTACAGCAAAGTTGGCCTGAGTCCAAGCAAACAGGGTCCTTATGAATCCAAACTTCACAGAACAAATCCCCATAAAAGGATTCAGTCAAAGGGGCTGGACTTGAGGACCTAGAGGGCCACATATGGCCTCAAGGCCACAGGTTTCCCATCCCTGTTAAACACTATTCCTCACTCTAATTTATATATATTAGCCTTAGTTTTGACCTTTCTAGACTAACTGGTTTTCTTCCAGCTTTGGTCTGAGGAAGTTCTTACCGAAGTCCGAGATATCGTAGGTCTTCTTTAGTGATATCATTAAGAATGTCGTAAAGTGTGTAACCCTCTTCAACAATCTGAAAGAAAAGCCAAATATATGAGAGGCAATCAGCTTTTAAAGCTAGAAATTTCCATAATTTTGTGGTTATTTTACCTTTCCAATTGTATTAGTATCAGCTCCTTGAAGTTTCAACCAGTCTGTGAGCTCACTGTCTGCCCTTTGTACCTGTGATTCAAGAGGTCGTATTGGAATAACCAGATTATCTGTAACAGAATTAAAAATGAATTTTATATAAAGTGGAACTTTGTAGAAAAGAGGCCATAGCAGAATGTAGATATAAAATGGAAACTAATTAAAGCTATAGGATTTGTCTGCCATAGTAGTCACAAAAGCTAAATGGCAGTTCAGCTCATCATTTGCAATGTAGTATAATGAAACGACCACTGACCCTGGCAATCAGAGGACCTGAATTCAAAAAACATTAGTATTGACTACTTAGACAAATGCTAGATGCCCAAGAAGTTTAGATAGCAGTGGCAACTTAGCAGCACTCTGTGCCACAAAAAAGTGCAGCCAGATACCTGAGAAACGAGGAAGCTCGGGCAAGACAGGTGTATGTATACAGCTGTGTGGCACTCTACTAAGCCTGAAGGAGAGAGCCCAGCACCTAGCTTGGGCCAGTTCTGTCCCCTCAGAAGTCACTTAGGGCAAAGACTAAGGCTGGTGTGAGAAGAGACAGATGGCTTTGAAGTCCAGCCCCCCTGGGAAAGGAAGCAGTACAGGACTACGGGGGAAAAAAGACTAAAATGACCAGAAATTCAAGAGGACAAAAACTCAAACATCAACATAAGCAAATAAACCAGCAGTGTTCCAGATTGGGTAAAAGAGTCCAGACATCTATGAATAAATATTGCAAGACAAAGAAAATGAAATTGACACTTAATGAGGCAGAGGATCTTGTGGATGCCCAAAGCAGAGCAGTTCATATCTCTGGAGGAGCTAATTCAACAGTAGAATGAGCCCTGGAGTAGACTGTGACCTGAGTGGTAATTAGACAATGAGTATTTCAGACCTACCTTCTGTAACTAGTCAGGCCTTGGGTCTCCACTGTCCCTGTGTTAACCACCAGGGAGGACCACAGACCCGACATCTGTCCTGTCACCCTTCTCCCTATATGCCAGCCTTCAGTCCAGGACCAAAGACCTGACAAATGTGATCCACAATGGAGAGAGCTCTAGCATAGAACTGACCTCATGACCCCAACAGTTTGACCACTAGACAGAACCACAGGCTTGCCTCTGCTTCCCCCTAATTTTCACTTCTTGCTCAGGGATTGATCACCAATTAAATATTATGTATTCTCTAAGGAGCATAAGTCAGAAGTCCCCTTCCCTGGCCATTATGTCCCATTTCTTCATAGTTTCTGTGTCTCTATCCCACTCCACACTGTCAAGCAATCAACAAACACTTATATAGCATTTATTAAATGCCAGGCCCTGAACTAAGTAAGCACTGGGCACAAAAGGCAAACATGGTTCCTTCCCTTACATTCCACCAGGGGAGACAACATATAAATAAATACGCTCTTTATACATTGTGCCCTCTCAATCCCCCATTCTATTGTTAACAAAATGTCCTTCATATTCGACATCTGTAAAATGGGGATGATAATAATAGCTCATTTATAAAGCACTTTACAAACCTTAAGGCATTATGTAAATACAGCTATCATTATTATTACTTTTATCAAACATATGACCTCCCTGGAAATTGTATATTTTTTAAATTTAATTTTCCCATATACACTTACATGTATACATATGTATTATATGTATACACACACACACACACACACACACACACACACACACACACACACTCTTCACAGACACATAACCCCTAGTAGAATATAATGTCCTCGAGGAAGGATTGGGTTGTTTGGTTTATTTTGACTTTGCATCTTCAGCTTCTAGCATTGGGCCTCATAAATAACAGGTACTTGATAAGTGCTTATTGAATAGAATAACTAATTCCAGTGAAGAAGAAGAGAATACAGTTATCCCTTCCACATTGTGATTTTCCCCATTGCAGCTTCAATATATTGTGGGTCAGCATAAAAAATTAAATGGGAATTTTGGGTGAGTTTTGTGGAAACTGCAGATGACACAGAGAGCCTATGACCAAATACTTAATCCGGATTTTACAATGAGAGAATGTAAACACCCCATAAAAGCAAAAGGAAAAATTCGGACTTCTCTGGTATGAAGGGAGGGACAAAAAATTGTATGGGGATTTTCCAGATCATGGGCAGGGCCATGCCCCAGCCCCCATGATGTGGAAGGGATAACCATAGTATCTAAAATGTTAAAGGAAGATCACAGGCCCAGAAAGGGACCCTAAATGAAACAGTCCAATCACAGACCACAAATGCATTTATTATCTGAGAAGAACTTGCAAAGCAGCAGAGAGGGAGTTAAATCAGCTTCTCAAAAGGGAGTGGGAAGAGGGTGAGATAATATAGTTTCTAGAGGCTTTTGGGCAGAGAGTGGGGTTTAAAGGAACAGATGCCTATAGACACAGTAAGTCAGGGAGCAGGTTGCTTAGAAAGTCCTAAACAAAGTCTTGAGTCTGTAGCTGCTGCTCAAAGTTGCCCTTGAGTTAGTCAAGGCTTTTTCTGTGGTTTCTGGCAGCTACAGGCATCTCCAAATTTGATAAGAGTTCACTCACAAAAGATCATCGGTATGTCAGGCAGCCCTGGGCTTCAGAAGTCCTTCTGATTGGCTGGTTGTTGTTTTATTCCAGTGTCCTGGGAAGCTCCAACATATCTATAGTCATTACAAAGCCCATGTTCAGAAAAGAAGCCAGTGTGACTGCGTATTAACCTATTAATAATATTAATATTACAGTCACTCTAATTAACAAGTGCCCAAGTTAAGAGGGCATGTGTGAGAGAAGGGAACAAGGGTAATTGAGGACAAGTATTTACAAGTAATGGAAGCTAGGCAAGTCCCTAAGAACAGTGGAGATTTGAGATAAATTGTAAATTATAAATAAATAAAAGGCCTTTTGTAGCTATGGTTGTTAATAAGAGGATTGTCAAGAAAGGGATGGGATCCCTGAGTGGACTGATGAGAAGGAGGTAAGTGGCTGACAGAAGAGCAGGAAGGTAGAGGTCATCAACTCCTGTTTTCACTCTTAATAACCTTCAAATGAGAAAGTACAGGTTGAAAATGCTGAAAAGATGGCAGTGAAGAGGTGGCAGGAGGGGACCTCTCTTCAATGAGTTGGTCACCTGATTTCTCCATTTTTCAAAAGGGAGAATGAAGTACATATTTCAAATAATAGGCCAATGAACTTGACATAATTCCTCCTAATCAGGGATGGATTGTTAAAGAAAACTTTTGAGAATACTTTAAAAAAAAGGAAAAGATCAAAGCTCCCTACAACTCTTCCCCCTCCAGCTGTGTGCACTGAGTCCCCAGGCATTCCATAATATGCATCACTTTAGCGTATACTCAAGTCTCTGCAAGTAGAAAATTATCTCACCAGTACTTTTGGACCGTAACTGAAGAAGGTACAGTTCTTGAGTTTTCTGCTCAAGAGCCTGCCGTAAGAAATTCTGGTATTCTCTCTCTTTTTGAACCAAGTGTTCCAGAAGCCTATTTTAAAAACATAAAAATAAAAAGTCAATAGCCAATAAGAGAAAGTAGAATAACATATAGACTTTCCTTCATGTAGAGAAAAATATACACTGGCTTAACAGTAATAGTGGACAAAATAAGAAGGCAATTGAAACCTGCATTTTGACCCTAAAAGAACCCATTTCTCTATTCTTTTCTTTTCCATGTTCCTTGAATAACCATTCTTCCACTAAACTTAAGAATACAGGTATATCTAGTTCCATGTTGCTCCAACAACTGTTTGTCATCTTATAATAACCTTCTTAAGATAACAGTGTAACTGCCATCATGCTCTATACCCTGCTACGATGTCTTAAGGCCTCAAACCTCAGAAAAACCAGCCTAGGATGGCCTTCACCCCAGAATTGTCCCTAAGTCCCATCAATGACTGTTTATACTTGTTTGTCTTTCAGCTGCTAAGGGATTAACATACTCATAATGTTATCTGTCCTAAAGTCAAATTTTCATGGAACCAGTTAACCACCTTAGGTTGAACAGACTGTGGAACAATTAAAAGCACAGATTTGGATAAAAAGGCAAAACACCTGGACCCAAATCACAACTCTGCCACTTACTACATTTGTAACTGGATGAGTCACTTTCCCTCTGTAGGCCTCAGTTTCCTTATCTGTAAAATGAAGGAGTCGCACTAGTTGGCCCAAAGGTCCCTTCCACTTTTAGATCAGTGATTCTGTGACCCTTTACTAATATACCAAGCACCTGAGATTTTACTGGTTTGGAATACCTCGTGTGGAACTCCTACCACCAAAGCAGTTCTGCATAACCTATCTACTTGACCATGGTCACAGAGTTAGTGTCCAAGGTGAGATCTGAATTCAAGTCTCCCTGATTCCAAGCGCAGCACTCCAGCCATTATATCCATGATACTTTTTAGTCATAGCTATATTCGATAGCTTTGTGATTTTATCACCCTATATGTTCCCTTCAATAACAAACATCACAACCCATCCATGCCTGCTCATCTAATGTATCTCTTGACAGTACCCTCCCAGAAGTTTGCCACAGGGAGTCCACCCATTGTGATAGGGGAATGTCCATAATACAAAATAAAGCCATTATGATTTCACTCCAACAAACTGAGCAAAAAGACCTTTCCCAAGTGTGAAAATCTGGTGAAGCCTGACATATTCAGAAGTGGTTCAGTTCCTATGAGGAAAACAAGCATGTAAACAGCAATCCATAGAGTAGGTCCGATGCTCTTCCTCTGCTTCTCCATCAGACTGAGTCACACAATTTCACACTTTAGGGCCATCAAGTTCAACCCATCCCATAAAGGCTTCCTAACCGTAACATATAACATGGGGTCATCTCATCTCTGCTGGAAGATCTCCACGGAGTGGGAACCCAGTCACCTCAGGCATTGCATTCCATTTTTAGACATTTGTAAGATTTTCCTGGGAAAACTGGCCTCACAACTTCCACCCAATGCTCCTTCTCCTGCCCTCTTGAGACCATCAGAACAAACCTCTTCCACCAGACAAACTTGAAGGTTTTCTCTCACATCCTCCCAAGGCATCTCCATGCTAAACATTCCCAACTCCTTCAAATGATCCTTGTATGACACAAATTCAAAGCCCTTCACATTCCTGGCTGCCATTCCCTACATACTCTAGCTTAGCCATGTCTGTGGCTCCCTAAAGTGAACACAATCTTCACGTGGTCTGAGTACAAAGGGACTATACCTCCTTATTCTTGAAGCGATGCTTGTCTTAATGCAAGCCAAGATCACACGAGCTTTTCGGGCTGACATATCCACATTGCTGACTCATAAAACCCCCATATCTTTTTCAGGCAAACTCCTCTATCTCCCTCCATCCTATACTTGTGAAGTTGTTTTTTTGTGTGTGCCCAAGACTAAAACTTTACATTTATCCCTACTTCATCTTAATAGATCCAGCCCAATGTTCTAGTCTGTCAAGACCTTTTTATATCACCCTGACTCCAGCCAACCAGTATGTTACAACCTGTCCATCCCAATTTTGTATCATCTATAAATCTGGTAAGTCTATGATGCTTTTATCCAAGACATTGATAAAGTGTTCAACAGCCCAAGATCCAACACAGATACCTGGGACATTCCACTGGTGACCTGCCAAGCTGATAAATGGTATTCTCAATTAAATGGTGTTCTCATTGGGTCTACATAACTTTTAATCAGATATAACTAGACTTAGAATCAGGACCCAAATAAGGTCATTCAGAGTTGGACACAACTGAAATGACTGAACAACAATAACACAATGTTAATATGCAACTACCTGCTAATAAAAAGACATGGAATGCCCACCTCGATGGCTCCAAAAACACGTAAGGCCTTTTTTTTGGGGGGGATTTGTGCGTGGAGGATATAATGGGTACTTGGAGGAATCCAAGAAATTCAGGCAAGTGTTTATTAAGCTCCTATTTTTAGTAATGCACTATGCTAGGCACTGAAGATACAAAGATAAGACAAAAGCCCTATTCTCAAGGAATTCATAAGCTAATGATGAGAGAGACTGTAGTGATAATGCCTGGAAAGCTGAAATTGGAGCCAGAATTATCCAGGTTCAAACCCTGTCGTTTATACAGCGAACTCTGTGACCCTAGACAAGTCACAGAACCTCTCCCTGCCCTAATCAACTCTCTAAACAGGGGTTCTTAACTTGTGTGTCATAGACCACTCCTCACCCCCTTAGCAGTCCAATGAAACCTATGACCTCTTCTCAGAATCACGTTTTTAAGTGGATAAAGTAAAATACGTAGAATTACAAAGAAAACCAATGCTAAAACAGTTATCAAAATATTTTTAAAAACAAGTTCATGGACCCTAAACTAAGAACCCCTGCTCTAAGACTATACATTGCAAAGGTGGTAACCTGCATTGGTACATAGGATCATAAAGCCAGAAGGAACCTTAGTCCAACCCTCTCCTGAAGGAAATGAGGTGAAGTAACTTGTGCAAAACCACACAGACAGTAAGCATCAAGAGTGGGATTGAACCTCTTCCAAGAGGATTTGAATCTCGCTTCCAAGACATAATAGATGAGTCACTGAATAGGTCCTCTGACCTCAGAGCCAAGTGCTCCTTCCAAAGGACTGTACTCAAATTTCTTATAATAATGAAAGCAGTGTCCAGTCCCTATCTTATCCTATGGGTTTGCAAATAAATAAATCAGACCTAGAGGGCCTATCCTTTTAAAAAATAAGCATTTTATTGTTTCCTCCTTTTTTATATCCCTTTAATTTCCCAATGGCCTCCCACCCGCACTGTCACAGACATCCCCCCCCAAAAAAATTCAGCCCTGTCCCCTCACCCCTGTCAACACTGTAATCTATTATGTCCATGTTGGTTCAGCCAATTCTCCCCCTGGGGTCATGGCAGCATTTTCCCATTGGTTTCTCCTGGCCACAGGTGATGTTCATTACCTGTTGGTTTCTTGTCTAAGCTTGCTCAGCTGAAGGTTAAGTTTGTGATGCTGTTGAGATTCCAGAGTTAATACAGAGCCAGCCCGACTCACTCCAGAAGCTACAATGGATTCTTCATTTCCATTTGGATCTCCAGGCTGGCAATCCTCTTCTACCTCATCTGCATCCTTATCTACTCCTTCCATTTCAGAGGCTGGCTCAAAGTGGGCTCGAAGCTCTGGCCAGACCAAAGGAAAAAAAGGACCACATGATGCTTGGCAGGAAATGTGAATGAGGCAAGAGACTGCTGCTGCTAGGATAGCAGTGGGGTGACAGAGCCCTGGGCTTGAGAATCAGAAGACCTGCCTCAGACATGAGATGTGTGATGCTGGTCAAGTCACTTAATCTTTCTGGGCCTCAGTTTTTCTGTGCATAAAATGGGGATAATAATAATAGTACGTACCTTACAAGACTGTTGTGAGGCTCCAATAATAGAGCACTTTTTCCAAACCTTAACGTACGGCATACATAGGAGTTGTTATTATCCTCATTGTCACTGTCATCGTATTGGATATTAAGACCTCCTGAATCTGGCCCCATCACACTATACACTAAAGTTCTATATGGACCACTTAGCCAGAAAGGAGATGAGCATATGTGACATATGGCAGATATCCTTCAGTACCTAAAGAGTGATTCTGTTAGTGTGGACTCCCTCCACCAATGCAAGTTGCAACCCTCCCTGTGTCTTAGTAGATGGTTGCTGTGGCAACCTGCTGTCACTCTGAAGCCAACCTAGTGATAATCCCCCCACCTCCCTCAACCCTAGCGCACCCCCCACTCAATTTTAACTGACAAAAAACATATAGATCACCCCAAGGCCCAAACTTGAAAGTTTGCCAGGTTGGTAGACTATTCCTTAGACTTGTCAACCCAACAGTCACCTCCAAGACACAGTGGGTGAGTCACTGGAACAGGCCCCTAGTAAAAGTATGTCCTTTACATTTTAATTAAGGAAGAGGAATCATCATTCCACTGATTGAACCAAGTATAACTTAAATTATTCACACTAGCATGGGGGAGCGGTGGGCAACGGTAGTGATAAAATAGCATTAAAATAGCATTAATCAATTTGTTATATAATGATATTGACTGTGAGTTTTTGGATTTCCATTGGAAAGTAAGTTCGAGGAATTCATAAAACCTCAAATAGTGAAAGAAGGCTTCAGGACCTGACTTAGATCAACCCATTATAAAATTCTTCCAACCTGATCCCCAAATCCTTCTCTCCCTTGACACTCCATGCTGGGGACCTCTCAGTCTGGCAGAGAATACTAAGAGAAGCCGAGCCTCTTCTCCAAGCTGTCTATAAAAGTCTAACTCACATACTCTTTGGGGAAGGCATTAAGGTGTATGAGTTTGAAAGGCTGAAATAGCTAATGAGTTCTAAATGAGCCGTCTGCAGTGCATTCCGAGTAGGAGCAAAGGGATTAGCCACTTCGGCAAGGAGTATGGACTAAACAGATGAGGAGGGGATCATGTCAACCAACTAATCTCTCCTCCCCACCCCCAACCCCCATCACCACAGATTAATGAGGCTGACTTCAAAGTTCGACTTTAGTTGCCAATCTCACACTAACATTTCAAAAGTAGATGCTTCCAAAGAAAAATTCTGATAAGAGATCTGTATAAACCATCACATGTAAGAATACAAAGACAAGGTTCATTTGTTCATATTGACAATCATTAAGGATTCTTGACCAGTCCTGATGAAACACACTTCCCTCCTTACAAGAGAGGCATGAACAGTGTTGCATACACAGTCATCCATCATTATTTTGTCAGCTGGTATTAACTATTTTGCTTTGTTACAAAGGAGAGTTCATTTGTGGGAGAGATTTATCAGGAAAATGAGTCTAGTGTAAAAAATAAAAGGCATCACTAAACATTCAAAAACAATGGCTGGCATTTCCTGAATGGAATCATTTAGATCCAAGTGGAATTCCTTAGGGATCATCTGATCCAACCTCCTTATATTAAAGATAAGGAAATTGAAGTCCCAGAAGAGAAAATGACATGCCCAAAGACACAACTGAAAAGGAACAGAACCCAGCTCCTCTGATGCCACAGCCAACCCAGTACTCTTTTCTTTGGTCCATGATTATCAACATAAAAGGGACGTGAGAGAAACAGCAGTTGTGGTCCCTGACTTTCATTTCTCTAACTATGAAATTAAGGGTATTGGTACCCAACTCTCCTTTTCTAGTCAGTCAAAAATTTATTAAGTAGGTATTTATTAAGTATCTACTATGTGTCCAGTTACTGTGCTAAATGACAGGCAAAAAAAAAGTTCCTGTTCTCAAGGAGCTCACAGTCTGAGACACCATGAAAACAACTATGTACAAACATGCCATATCCAGTATAAATCGGAGATAATCAACAGAGGAAAAGCACTAGAATTAAGAGAGATCAGGAAAGGCTTTTCTACGGAAAGTGGGATTTTAGCTAGGACTAGAAGACTGGAGAGGTTGGGGAGGGAATAGGCTGTGAAAAGCTTTGAACACCAAACCGAATTTTATATTTGATCCTGAAGTACTGTGATAAGGAGCTACTGGAGGTGATGGAATAGAGTGCTTTACTATTATTGTACTTTAGGTTTGTGCCCATCCTTTCCACAGATACCGTATTTATAGGATAATGTGCCCTAGGTTTGTGGAAGATGTGTTTTGTAACAAATGATCCTATGCCATTTTAATAAATATATTTACTATGCTGATTGTGTCTACTAGTATGACTGATAATGGGAAACACCCAGTAGGGGCTTATAGGCCCTTGTACTAGAAGTATAACTCCACAGAGTTATCCCAAGAACTCAAAATAGCAGCTACCCTGTAGGAACTCAACCTGTATCAGTTATAAGAATGATCCAGAGAGTTTAAGAAAGGATGGAGAGAGGGAGAGTTTTTGTTTATTGTATTCATGCTTCTTTTTAAAATCACAAAACTTCCAGAAGGTGAAGTGTTATTTAACATGACTGTTCCCACCTTTCATTTATATAATGCTTTCTAATTCTTTTGTATTATTTTAAAAATTAATTAATTAAATATTTTTGGTGAGATTATTGGATTAAGTAACTTGCCCAGAATCACACAGCTAGTGAGTGTTATGTAACTGAGGCCAGATTTGAACTCAGCTCCTCCTCACTCCAGGGCCAGTGCTGTATTCACTGAGCCACCTAGCTGTTCCCTACTTTCTAATTCTTTATATAAACTTCATGATGATGAGTTTAGTTTTAGACACAGAGTTTTAGGTGCTGGCGGGACACTGAAGTGGTGATATCCAACAACAGTTAGTTAGAAATGGAAAATCAAACTGGAGAAAAGGTTAGGGGTAATAAATTGGGTTAAGGAATCACTGGGTGAAAGCTGAAAGTAAGGAAGCTAATGAAATTGTCAAATGAAAGAGCAAAGGACTGAGTGAGGACTTTTCCTTAGCGTATGCTTGCATTAAGGAGCAGGAGGAGTCATTTTTGTACCTGTCTTATTCTCCCATATGAGACTGCCAGCTCATAAATGCCAGAGACTAGGTCATTGTTTTCCCATCTTTATATCAGCAGCCCCTAACTTTTTTTTTAATCAGATCTGTAATTTTATCTGTTCAGAAAGGTCCCTATACAAGTGAAAATTTTCCTCTATTGATGCAGACCAGCCCTTTTTTTTTTAATTTATAGTCCTAGAAAATTGCCTTGAGCACTGAGAGTCAAGTGATCTGTATGGGGAAAGTGTCACCTGTATGAGTGTGGGTGACAGGATTTAAACTCGAATCTTCCTGACTCTGAAGTTGTGCACTTTTCCACACCACCTTTTGCCTGGCAATCAATCAATAAACATGTTGCCAGGCACTGTGCTAAGCACTTGGGGATACAAAAAGTAGTAAAAGCAGTCCCTCAAGGAGCCACAAGCAGAAGTTTAACAAATGTTTGTTGAGCTTCATCCAATCTTATAAATAACTACAGTCATGGTCAGGGTATGGAGAGAAAAGCAACCAAGATGGAAAAAGAGAGGAAAAAAATGAACCTTCTTAAATTGTAAGAACTTTTAGGGAGGCCTTCAGCTCCCCCATTCAATTTTAAGCTTCTTGAGGACAGAGACTGTCTTTTCCCTCTTTGTATCACCAGTTCTTAGCATAGTGCCTGGCACATGATGCCACGTTTAATAAATGTTGATTGATTGACCTTTTATCAAGGTTTGCACTGGCAGGCCGAAGCTCTGACTTGAATTATTTGAGTGTGGCTTTACCTGGAATGAGAATAGTCACAGCAGCCTGCACTGCTCTACGGATGATGTTATCCATTGCAAACATCCAATGGGGTCTGATTAAATGATGCCGCAAGATTTTACTCACCTAAAAATAATTTTGGAAAAAAAAATCAGGTTAAAACAACCTTAGGCCAGCCTATTATATGGGTTGGGTGAATGGGTAATAACTACGTGATTCTCCATTCCCTCCCTTCAAAACACAGTTTATTAGGAAAGACCCATTGGCTGCCACAGTTTTTCAGAGGTCATCATTCCAAATGATTAATAAATCTTACATACTCATGGCCCATAAGACTATGCAGAGACATTAAAAGGGGATGCTTCTTGTACTTGGGCATAGTCAAGTCACAGAGAAATTCAAGAGTTTGGGAAAATACAGAAAGAGGAAGAGATAGCTACCCTGGCAGGGAGTCCTGGAAGCAACTCATTGAGATTTTCATGACACTAGTTATTAGCTAACTGGGCTAACTCACTAAATTTCTATAGCAATAGTGGAGCTCAAACAAAAGCCTTACCGCATCCTGAAATCCAAACAGCACCAAATGAATCTGATTGATGGAAGTGCTGTCAAAATCTAGATCAACTTTTAGCTTAGAGATAGTAGATGCCATAACTCTGTGCTCAGGGGAGCGTATGAAGTCTCTCAAAATCCCAATTATCTGCTTGATGTGGGCATCTGAAAGGTGCAACTCTTCAGAACTCTGACAAAACAAAACAGAATTAACTGCATGACCGCGTCCAAAGAGAAAGGGAAAACATTTCAAGTCTTAAAAAAGAACCTGGACTAAAATCAAAAATGTTTATTTTTTCCTGCAGCTATGAATTTGCACGCCTACAAACAAATCTGCAATTAGAAATCATTCTATCTGTGACCACATCTTATTATAAAAATGAGACAAGCCTTTACAAACTGCTTAATCTTTAGGCCTAATCCAATGCAGGCAGATCTCTGATTTAATGCTGGACAAGAAGTCATTCTGATGTATCTTATCATGCTTAAGCTTATAGAATGTAATATAGAGTCCCAAGGAGTCAAACTCATGTCCCAAAGTCTGCACTAGAATGGTGGCAGTATCAGAGGAGAGAAGGGAGCATATTTGGGAGATGTTGCAAAGGTGAATCCACAGGCCTTGGCAACAGATTGGATGGGGGTGGGGTGGGGGGAGAGATGGCAAGGAGTCTAAGATGATTCCTAGGATGTGAACCTAAGGGAGCAGGAGTATGGCATTGTCCTCTACAGTAGTATGGAAGATAAGAGGTGGGGATGGTTCAGGGGGAAAGATAATGAGTTTTGTTTTGGATATACTGGGTTTAAGATGTCTACTGGACATCCAGTTTGAGATGTCTGAAAGACAATTGGAGTTGTGAGACTGGAGGTCAGCAGAGAGTCTGGGCCAGGATAGGGAGACTTGAGAATGATCAGCACAGAAATGGTGATTAAATCCATGGGCGCTTATAAGAGCACCAAACGAAGAGAAGAGGGTCCAAGACAGAATCCTGAGGGACACCTATGGTAAGAAGGTGTGATCTGGAAGAGGATCCAGCAAAGGAGACTGAGAAGGAGCAGTCAGAGAGGAGAAGGAAAACCAGAAAAGAGGGGAGTCCTGAAAACCTAGAAAGAAGAGAGTATCAAGGAGGAGAGAGAGATAATGTCAAAGGCTGCAGAGAGGTCATGGAGAATGAGGACTAAGAAAAGGCCATTGGATTTGGCAACCAAGGCAAGAGGTTAAGAAGAGAGTGAAAGGAGAGAAGGAAGAAACACATATTGCAGACAGCCTCGCAGAGGAATTTAGCCACAAAGGGCAGAAGAGACACAGGACAATAATTAGGGAGGATGGAAGGATCAAGTAAGGGGGTTTTGTTTTGTTTTTTTTAAGTTGGGGAGAAATGGGCACATTTGTAGGCAGTAGGAAATAAGCCAGCAGAGAGGGGAAAGATTGAAAATAAGTGAAAGAGTAGGGCTGACAGAGAGGGCAATCTTTTCTTTTAACCTGATCTATGTTTTTTTTAAATTTTTTTTATTAATTTATTTTGATTTATCAACAATCACTTCATATGCTTTTGAGTTTAAAATTTTTTTTCTCCCTTCTTCCCCACCACCCTCCCCAAGATGCCGCACAATCTGATATAGGCTATACATATACATTCCTATTAAACATATTTTCACATTAGTGATGTTGTTAAGTAAGAATTAGAACCAATAGGAGGAACCACCAGAAAGAGGAAACAAAACTCAACAGAAGAGAAAAAAAGAAAGGGTAGTCTTTTCGAGAAGATGGAATGAAATGGGATCACTTGAACAGGTAGAAGGATTAGCCTTGGTAAGGAGTAAGGTCATTTTATCATGTGAGATAGAGGTAAAAGAGAAGAGAGTGGCAGAAGACATCTGAGGGATAGATGAGGAAGAGTGGAAAAGAGGGAGTGCACAGCAAATGGCCTCAATTTTTAAAGATAAAATATGAGGCAGGTTCTCAGCTAGGAGAGTGGGGGGAGGGGAAGCCATCATAAGTTTGAGGAGGGATGTAAAGGTCTGGAAGAGCTATTATGGACAGTGAGTTGATAAAGCAGGATTGCCTAACAGCTGTGAGGGCCCGGTTAAGGTTGCAGGACATAAATTTGTACTGGACCCTGTCAGAACAGTTGCATGATTTTCTGCACCTTCAGCAGCACATGTGAAGGAATGAGGATAAAGGCTGAGTCTTGGCTGGGTGTAATCAGGAGTTAGGGATTGAAGAGAAGAGGACAGTGTAGAGCTGAATTGGTTCACCAAGGGGTCAAGATGTGGAGAAGGGAGTGGCTAGGGAAAGGGAGATGGCCTAGGAGAGAATTGAAGGGTCAAGGGATTGGAGGTCACAGTATGGATGAAGAATAGGGTTTTGTAAGGGAAGGCAAAGGGAGAAATGAAAAGCCAGTGGATTGTGGTCAGATAAAGGGATTTCAGAATTCTTGAACATAGAGGTGGTACATTTGTGAGTAATAGCAAGATTAAGGGTATAACCAACTTTGTGCGTGGCTGAGTAGCTCATGGACGATTGAGTAGGATGAGGAACTGAGTAGCTGGGGTATTTGAGGGAGAGTCAATATATATGTTGAAGTCCTCTAGTATGAGGGCAGGAGTTGGAGAGGAGAGAAAAATTCTGAGCCAGCTACGGAACTTATTGAAAAAGGAAAGAGAATGACCTGGGGATCGGTAAATTTATCCTCTGCAGGAGGATACAAAAGTTCACCAGAAGCATCCTCAGCATAATTCATTTTTATTCTATTATGTCATCATCATCATTATTGTTATTATTATATTAACATCTCACTCTCCCCCCCATCGAATTTTAAGGTTTACAAAAGGCAGAGATAGGCAAATTCTATCATTTCCTCAAATAGCTATGAATCCTAAAAAATTTGGGGAATCTTGGATTCATGCTCCCCAAATGTGCTGGCCTGCTATGCAGAGTTTTATCTCTTGTAAGTCAGAGCTGATTTAATTAATTAACTCATCATTCAATCATCTGCCTATATTTGAACTTGCCACAAGAGGGTGCTAGCTCACCACTACAAGAGCAGAGTTCTAACATCACTGAGTACTACAGAGCCTTTGGCAAAATGACCTTATTCAGGGAGAAGGAAAGAAAAGGAACAGATTTTGGAAGCGTCACTGTGTTTATTATAAATGCAGGCATCTGATGGGTTAACAGCAAGCCTGGACCTACTTCTGCTCCTTGGCTGCCCGAATCAGGAACTGAGATCTCTGAAGAGATGTCCTTAGAATAGGTCCCCCCAAAAGGATCTCACTAAAACCATCTCACCTGGGCCACACACTCCTGTAGGTTCGAGGCCACTTTATCTTGTTCCTCTCTGAGGATTTTGTATAGAATGGCCCGGCGTTCACTGTCCTTCCTCAGCAGGAAGAGCCCAGAGTCTCTGTCCTCCAGGGACGGGGACATGCTACGATCTTCAGAGATAGAGTTCTCATCGGGAACACTGGGGGTGAAACAAGGCACAACTTTGAGTAATTCAGAAAGACAGACTGGGCCCCTGTGGGGGAGACTGGGTGAAGGGGACCTCAGAAGAGGGAAGCAAGCAAGCAAACTCAGCAATCCTTCATTTCCCTCCCAAGAATCAGGAAGAAATAGACAATTCAAAGGAGTCATAATAGTAGCTCAAATTTATATAAGGTTCCCAAAGTGCTTTAGAAGTATCTTTACCCACATCTCCACCTGATGTTTACAGCAACTCAGCGAAGCAAGTGTTATCCTCATCCCCATTTTATGGATAAAGAAACCAAGGCTTAGTAAATAGAGCACCGGCCCTAGAGTCAGGAGGACCTGAGTTCAAATCTGGCCTCAGACACTTACTGGCTAGCTGTGTGACCGTGGGCACATCACAACCCCCATTGCCTCCAAAAAAAAAAAAAAGAAAGAAAGGAAAAGAAACCAAGGCTCACTCAGAGAACTTAGGTGACTTTTTCACAAGCTAGTAAGCAGAATTTTAAGCTATGCAGCCAGGCAGAGTAGAAAGAAGATTGGCTTCAGAATAAGATGACCTGGGTTCAGATCTCATCTCAGATACTTATAATATGACCATAAGCAAGTCACTTAAACTTCCCTCAGTTTCATCATCTATAAAATGAAGGGGCTTGACTAGAATACCTCTAAGGTCTTTTATTATTTTGACATTTCATAGCAGATGCAATAACTATGCCCAGGGAAGAGGAAAAAGTCTCTCAAAACCCCAATCACCTGCTTGATGTTAGCAACACTATTGATGTAAAATATCATCCCTTGTGCTTTCCTCTGTTCTGGACAATGCTTTTCCTAAAGGACAGCCTGACCATGTCAATTCCTCTACTCAAGAAACATGAATGGCTCCCTATTACTGCTAGGGTCAATCTCTGTCATTTAGAGCCATTTACAATCTGGGTTAAGCTTACCTTCCCAAAACTATACATTACTCCTCTTTGTATACAGTTTAGATCCAATCAAATTGTGCCACATTTATAGCAATCTATCTCCAATCTCTATGTCTTTGTATTAGCTGTCCCCTATATCCAAAATGTATATTTTTTCCTGACTCTGCCTCTCTTAGTATCTCTAGTTTTTTTCCATTCTCAGTTCAGGCACCATTTTCTACATCAGAGGTGTCAAAACACTTCCCTGGGGTACAAAACTGACAAGTGTGGCCAGAACCAGATTAAAATGTAACTGAGGAATGTTTAACAAAGAAGATAGAAATATAATACAACATAGATGATAACAAATTTGCGGTTTTCTAAGTCAATGCAAGGCCAGAAGGCATCAATTTCTATGTGAGTGTGATACTACTTGTACTAAGTGAAGACCTTCCTGACTTCCCCACCTCTTAGGGTCCCCTCCCCATCACCCCATATCTATTTTGTATATACCTATACATGGATATGACATACATTTTCTCTCCTTTATAGATTGTAAGCTCCTTGAGGGCAGGCACTCTTCTACTTTTGTCTTTGGCCCCACTGCCAACCTGACAAATATTTTTTTTATGATTTATCTGTAAAATAAGCTGGAGAAGGAAATGGCAAACCACTCCAGTATCTTTGCCAAGAAAATTCCTTAAGGGGTCACAAAGAATCAAACACCAGTAAAAAAAAAAAATGAACAACACAATAACATAATAGGTAGAATTTATAGAGCGACTTAAGATTTGCAAAGCACTCCACATATATTCTCATTTGATTTCTCACAACAACCATCTGAGGTAAGTGTTATAATTATTTTACAAATGAGGAAAATGAAGCTGCAAGTGAGTCATCCAGGGTCACACTGATATTAAGCGTCTAAGGATTCAAACTCATGTCTTCCCAACTCCATGCTGGGCAATCCATCTACCCACATTGCCTCAGCAGCTGTGTCCTTCCCATTCATACTTCAGTAGAGGGTCTATTCATACAGTATGCTTTCTAGACCTAGAAACAGAGGTTCCCAAAGTGGGCAATACCACCCCCTGGGGGTGCTGGAACCATCCAAGGGGGTGGTAGTAGCTTCAGGTGCAATTGGGGGGCACTGAATAAAAATAAGGTGGTGGTGGTGGAACCATAAGGAAAGAAAAAAAGAAAATTCTGAAAAAACATTCATATATGTTTCCTCTGTTGTGTAACAGAGTTAAAATCATAGTGATTATACTGTTTTCAAAATTAACACACAAAATGCAAGTTATAACTGATCAGTGGCCAAGCCCGCCAATAGGTCTTAACAAGCAAGTGTTGGCAGGTAAGCATGTTGTGCATTGTCAGAAATACCGGCACGCATGAGCAAGAATATGTGAGTGTAATGACTTGTTTACAATATGATACTATACAGTTACACGATACAATCAATATTGCATCATCAAAATTTCAACGCAGGAAAAAACTCACAAATTTACAATCAATTATTAAACTTAAGATGCATCATTTAAAATAAAATTTATATTTTTTTGAAATGATGAAAATTTTAAAATCGTTAAAAGGTTAAAGATTTCCAGGGGGGCACTGGGTAATTTTTTTTTTAAAGGAGGCAATAGGCCAAATGAGTTTGGGAACCTCTGACCTAGAACATACATATGTCCTGCTCATACTGCCACAAAGAAACGGAAGAAAAAATCACTTCATGTAAGTTAAATTTAAATTCAGAAGCATTTGATTCTCAATGATTCCATGCCCATCTACTTGCCCACTGGAAATGTGTGAACATGTCTTTGTTTCAGGGCTCCCTGTTATTAGAAAGCTCATCCATGGGAGAACAGCAGCAAAGGGGACACTCCTACCTCAGTAACTGGGAGAGGTGATGCTTAGCTTGTACATCTGACACCGACCGCTTTGTCTTCTCAAAGAAGGCATGTTGCACATCCGAGTCTGGGGAAATGGAGCCGTGTTCACTGCTGCTGCTGCCACCCGCTTGTTCGCCTTGGACAGGCAGAGGAAGGGATACACTCCTAGCGTAATCTAAGTGGCAAGAAACAGAGGGAAACAAAGAAATTAATCATTTAGATATGAACCCAGGAAAATAATTTAAGTTCCCACCAATTTAATGAGAATTTATTTAGTATCTACTATGTACGAGGCATTGTGCCCAGTACTAGAGATACAAAGACGAAAATGAAACATTTCCTGTCCTCAAGAAGCTTACATTCTTCTTGTAGGCTACAACATGTACAAAGATGAGTAAAATACAAAATTATAAGAAGTAACAGACAGAGAGAGGAGACTAGCAATTGGATGGATCTAGAAAAGGTCTCATGGGTGATAATTAAATCTACAGAAGCTGATGAAGTTACCACATGAGAAGGCGGCCCAAGACAAGAGCCCCTCCTGGCTGTCCTCATTAAGATGTTTACCAGCTTCAATGTCCTTCCTAGAATGTGGTACTTAGACTGAACTGAATACTCCAGATGAGCATGACCAAGGCAGAGTTTAATGGTACTATCGTTTTCTCCTCTAAGGACTCTATACCTCTATTAATTCAACCTAAGATGACATTAGCTATTTTCACTATCATATTATACTGTTAACTCTTATTGAATTAACGATCCACTAATAACCCTCAAAGTCTTTTTTTTTTTTAGGCAATTGGGGTTAAGTGACTTGCCCAAGGTCACAGCTAGTAAGTGTCAAGTGTCTGGTCTGAGGCCAGATTTGAACTCAGGACCTCCTGACTTCAGGGCCGGTGCTCTATCCACTGCGCCACCTAGCTGTCCCTTAAACCCTCAAAGTCTTTTGCACTGTTATCTGTCCAAGATTTTCATATTGTTTATTTGTGCCATTGACTTTTTGAACCCAAGTATAAAATTTTTCATTTATACTTATTAAATGTCATCTATCTCATCAGAAAAAAAAAGAAGAAAGAAAAGCTTCATATATGAGGTGGCACCTGAGATGTATTCTGAAGGACATTAGGGATTCTAAGAGGTAGAAGTGAGGAAGGTAGGCATTTCAGAAATGGGAGTCACCTGAGCAAAAGTGGAAGCTAGAATTTCATTTATAGGAAACAGCTAGAAGTCCAGTTTGACTGGAACATAGAGTATATGAAGCAGCATGATAAGAAATAAGACCAGAAAGGCCGAAGAAGACTGTTTTTATTTATATTCACAAACACAAACAGAGCTGGGCCTGGGAAAATACTTTGCTGATCAATTAATAAATATTTATTAAGTACCTACTATGTGCCAGGCACTGTGCTAAATGCTAGAGAAACAAAAAAGAGCAAGACAATCCCTGCCCTCAAGAAGCTTACAGTCTAATGGGGGAGACAACATACAAACAAATCTATACAAAGCAAGCTATATATACGATAAATAGGAAATAATTAACAGAAGAAAGGCACTAAATTGAAGAGTGAGAAAAGATTCCTGTAGAAAATGTGACTTACATGGAAGCCAGTAGACAAGAGTTTAGAAGAGAGAGCATTACAGGCTTGGCCACAGCCAGAAAAAATGGGCCAAAACAAATAAAATAATATATAAAATAATAATAAAGAAAAAATAGTGGAGACACAATCCCATTATGGAAAATAGAAATAATCTGCCTGATTGCCTCCCTTATAGAAATGCACCAAGAACAAATACAAGAAAGGCTGACTATGGAAATTAGATGTTGACAAATAGTCAAAAATCTTAATATTGTTGTGACTTTTGACTTCATTCCTCCAGATGAAAAAGAACCAGTGATTACTATTTGGAGGTTACTACTGGACCGTTTACCACTAGGTTAACCATGCTGGAAGCTATTTAAAAAGGGGTGCCTTCGTGGCCTGTGGTGGATCCAACCACAAGAGGAAGCAGCACTCTATCAGTGCACTCAGTGCATTCTTCAATCAAGGTCTGGCTCAGCAGATGGCCTGGAGGCTAGCTGGCCTCAAATATAAAACGCTAAATCCTGCATTTGTAAAAGAACCAAAGCTGCCCCCTTTAACCCAACTGGCCCTGGCTTTGTGGTCACAAATGAAAATGAAGCATGTTAATAAGGTAAGCTCATTTGTCTTTGTCTTCAAATTCTGCCCAAGGATGAATGCGCTTCTCTGTTATTAATGTCAAACATTCATTTGTTTAGATTTTCAGCAAACCCCAAACATGCTACCCCCAGCACTCCAGCATTCTAGCTCTGACACAAAAATGGAAGCATTATGTGAAGCTCCGCATTTAGGAGTCGTGGTGCAGCCCAGCCCCTGCTCATTCTTTGGCATGTCTTCTACTTTGAATTACAAAGTGGAGCCTGTGGGTGGCCTAATAATTCACACGATTTCTTTTTTTTTTAAAAAAATACAACACTTAACTGATATTCGGACTTGTCTTCATAGATAGGCACAACTCACCTGAAGGTCTGAAAGCAATTCGGTTTTTCTTGCCCTTGTTCACCTGCTTCAAGAACGTGTCCTTCAGCAGGTCAGAGGCTGTGACTCGTCTGTTCGGGTCAGGTTCAAAACAGAATAAAATGAAGGCTCTGGCTTCTGCTGATAGTGATTCTGGGATCTCTGGGTGTATCTTGAACATGCCCACCTATATTGGGGATAGAAGCAAAATATCTGTTTTAATAAGGCCTCTGATGAATTTAGGGTTTGCAATACTTTTAATTTCTTCTTTTTTAAGACAACTAACCACTATACTTCCAACCTCACTGGGGTACTACAATGGACATTATCATTCCCGTTACATGCTGCCAAGCTGCAGAGTATCCATCCCTCTTAGGTGCCTGGGACATAACAGGCACTTAATAAATGTTTGCTGATTGATATCCCCCCAATTACATTTTGATTCGGTTCTGATGACACTCTGGGGTGTTGCAGGTCAGAGGGTTTGACATCTCTGCCCTAAGCAACTCTCTAAAACTTTAAAGTTGCAGTGGACCCCCTCTGCATTAGTTGAGAAAGCCCCCTCCAGGGACTCTCTACATTGATGAAATCACGGGTCCCGGTCAAAGAACAATAATAAACCTAGGTAATGAACAAATTACCTAGTGCTAGGAAACCACTATGACACAACCTCAATTAAAAACACTGCTGAAGTGTCTAAGTGTCCTTAACAATAATTCTAGAGACATCAGAAGTAATTTCTCTCAATGAAGTTTAACAGGGGTAACCCTAGGTATGTGCTGAGTGCACACAGCCATACTCTCTTCTTTCTCCTTATTCTGTATTCTTCTCCAGGACAACAAATGTTTGGGAAATAAGAAAACTTTGACAACCCTCCCCTCTTGGGATTCTTGCACTGTTTCAGGTTTGCTCTATTAGCCTGGTTCATTCATTGAGTCTACATAAGCTAACTCCTCTGGGAAGTTTCTCTGGCTGATCCGCCATGGCTGGAAAGCTCTTCCTCTTCATCCCCAATTTCATCCCGAAGCTTTCCCTGGCTTCCTTCAAGTCCCAAATAAAATCCCATCTTTTACAAAAAGCCTTTCCTAACAGTGCCTTCCCTCTGTTAATTATTTCCTATTTATGCTGTACATAGCTTCTTGGCACATAACTTCTTTGTTCTCCTTGATCTATTAAAATGTTTGTGTTCGTTAAGTTCATAATAAAAATTTAAATATAACAAACACAAATTATCTATAAATATTATGAATTATACCTAATTAATAAACAAAATAATTGTACAATAATTTGCACAGATCACACTGACAAACAGTACTAGTTAGTCAGTAAGAAGTCAACAGTTTGTTTACCTAATCATTTTTAAAGTTCTACTGTATACTGATGAGCAACCTGGCCCCATGAGAAAAGGGCTGAGAGCTATCTGTTTACCCATAGCACTCTCTAGACTTCACCACCGTGTGTTAGCTACCTTTGCCCTGAGGTCCTTTTCCCACAGAAGGACTCTCCCTAGGCACTGGAGTGCTCTGCCCTGGATGCTCCTGTTCCATCCTCATCCCAAGTATCCACTGATTTCTGTCTGGACCAGACAAATGACTCACTGCGACTTTTTTTAGAGTCCTTCCCAGAAGCCACACTATAAGGAAGGGTTCTAGACCAGCCTTGCCTCACTCTTTGCCACCAGAGGTTATCTAACCCCTCCTATCCACTTTTCAGCTCCCTTTTATGTGTTTTTTTCCCCTATTATAATGTAAGCTCCATGAGGGAAGGGATTGTCTTCCTTTTTGCCTGCATTTGTATACCCATCCCTTAGCAGCCTGGCTAAGTCAGTGTCTGGCACATAACTTAATAAATGCTCATTGACATTTATTAGCAAGAGAGGTGGAGATTATTCACCATAAATGACAATCTCAGAGCTGTATACTGCAGATTCAAGGGTGGTTAAACAAATGCCCCCAAATCTAACCATACATCAGCAAGAAGATGCAATTAAAATTAAAAGAGTTCCAACATCCAGTTCTGGACTGACCCCAGGAGCCCCAGATGCTTTTGTTTGCATTTGGCATTGTTCTGTTGTCTACTAGATTCTGCTTCATATAAAATATGTCAATAGAGCAGATGTTCCCTTACTTCAAATTCCTGGTGCTATGGTAACCCAGAGATGTTGTTCCTAATGGCTATTCTTTGATTCCTACACTGAAGTTAATGCCTACAATCTCTATAGGCCTAGCATTAGGGTCATTTGGCATCCACATAATACTTTTCAAATTCACAGGACGACAAGATTTCTGACTTGGAAGGGATCTCAGCAGACAACCAGTCCAAATCATACTCCAAAAACAATCCCCACTACAGCACAACCAACCAATGTCCAGACAGAAGTCAGTGGATACTTGGGATGGCAATGGGACAGGAGCATCCAGGGCACAGCATTCCAGTGCCCAGGGAGAGACTACACCAGGGCAAGGAAGGGCCCCAAACCAAAAGTTGGGCGCCATGATGGGGATAAGTGCAAACAGTCAGTTGTATTGCCCACTACCAAGTTTTGGAGCACAGACTGAGGACCTGTGCAGAGGGGTGGCTCTGGGAAGGGAGGTCCTGGCTGGTGTACCAAGAAGCAGAATGGGGGATCAGTTCTAATAGGTAGCCCGGCCTTCAAAGGAATAAGCAGGGCAGGAATCCTAGACCAAAGGAGAGCCTATAGGTCTGCCACTCTGAACCAACCAAGTTTTCCAGAGGGCTGATAGGTGCTGCATCCAGACCTAAGCCAAGGTCATTAGCTTGCAGAGCTCAGACCAGGAAGGCAGCAATCAGATTTTGCCTTTGATTAGACCACTTTGGGAGCACTGAAAGCTTGTAGATCCCTGGCTTATCCCTGAGATACTGGAATAATACAACCACTCCATACCTCAAGAAAGCAGAGAAAGGATCAGATCAGACCTTCCCTCAGGAAATGCCTCAGAGTCCTGCCCTAACATTAAGCCTGAAGTCATGAAGTAAGCTGGAAAGATGAGAAAACAAACAAAAAAAAGATTCCCCAAATAAAGAGGGAAAGACAAGGGAAGCTCAAAACACAAACCCAGAAGAAGAGTATGGCGCTAAAACATCTATGAGCAAAGCCTCAGATTAAAACAGAGTTTGGGCACAAAATCCACTAGAATGCCTGGAAGAGATAAAAGCAAGAATTTTTTAAAATGAATTTTAGAAGTTTTTATAAATGAAATGAGAGTACTCGAGAAAAAAATTAGAAAAGAAATGTTGTTGTTCAGTCATATCCAATTCTTCATGATGACATTTGGGGGTTCCTTGACAAAGATATTGGAGTGGTTTGTCATTTCCTTCTCCAGCTCATTTGACAGATGAGGAAACTGAGGCAAACAGGATTAAGTGACTTGCCCTGGGTCACACAGCTAGTAAATGTCTGAGGCCAGATTTGAACTCATAAAGATGAAGCTTCCTGGCTCCAGGCCTGGCATGGTATCTACTGTGCCATCTAGCTACCTGGAAAAGAAATGAGAGCTATGGAAAAAAATAATTGGAAAGGGAAAAAAACTCCCTGAAAATTAGAATGAACCAAATAGAAGCCAACAACTCAAGAAGACAACTAAGAAATTTTAAAACAAAGTAAAAATGTTGAAAATATAGAAGAAAATACAAGGTATCTCATAGCAAAAACATCTGACTTAAAATAACATAGACTAAGGAGAAAAAAAAATTAAGAATCACTGGACTGTCTGAATTCCATGACCAAAAGAAAAAGCCTAGAAATCCGATTTCAAGAAATATTAAAAGAAAACTGCCTAGATCTCTTAGAAAGAGGGTCAAGTAGAAATAGAAAGAATCCACTGGTCACCTTCTGAATAAATGAAAACTCTCAGGTACATTGTAGCCAAAATTCAGAGCTTCTAGGCCAAAGAAAAATTACTGTCAGTAACCAGAAGGGATTCAAATATCAAGGAGCCACAGTCAAGATCATACAGTTTAGGGGCAGCTAGGTGGTGCAGTGGATAGAGCATCAGCCCTGGATTCAGGAGGACCTGAGTTCAAATCCGGCCTCAGATATATAACACTTACTAGCTGTGTGACCCTGGGCAGGTCACTTAACTCCATTGTGTAGCCAAAAAAAAAATTACACAGTTTAGCAGGCACCAATAAAAAGAACCAGAGAACCTTGACTGCAGTGTTCCAGAAAGCAAAGGATATGGGCTTATAGCTAAGCATTAGCTTACCCAGCAAAACTAAGTATATTTCTAAAGGAAAAAAAAACCAATGGATCTTTAATGAGATAGAGGACTTCCAAGCATTAATGATAAAAAGACCAGAGCTGAGTAGTAACTAAAGTTCAAACACAGGAGTTAAGAGAAACCTAAAAAGGTCACCATGAATGAAAAATTATAAAAGACTAAACAAACTACTTACATTCAAATATGGGGAAATGATATATGTGTACCCTGTGAACTCTATCATCCACACAGGACACACAGAAGGAATCTAATTAGATACCACCTGTGAGTGGTTCTATCATATCTTGATGATCTTGAGAATGGAAAGAGAGGGAAAAGAAATACACAGGAGGGGAAAGAAAAGGAAGATGAGGGAAAATTATCTCATATAATCAGGGTACACAAATAGACATCAATACAACAAGGAGGGAATAGAGGAGAGTAACAGACAGTTGAACCTTTCTCTCATCTGACCTGGTTAAAAGAAAGAAGAATACATACATACACACATACACACACACACACACACACACACACACACACACACACATACACACAGAATTGGGTACAGAAATACATTTCATTCAACAGGGAAATCAGAGGGAAAGGGGAAAAAGGGGAGGGAGAATTAAAGAGAGGACAGATTAAGGAAGGGATTAGTTCTAAGTAAAACAAACTCTTACTAAGGATGTACAAAAATATTTGTACCTTTTTTTCGGGGGTGGCAAAGAATGGGAATCTGATGGGGGTATTCATAAATTGGGTAATGGAAGAACAAGTTATGGTATAATAAATGTGATGGAATACTGTTGTACTATGAGAAATGACGGAGAGGGTTTCAGAGAAGAAATGTACGAACTGATGCCAAGTGAAGTGAACAGAACCCCAAGAACAATTTATACAATGATAAGAATACAGCAAAGGCAAAAAACTTTGAACGAATTAGGAACACCCATCACAGAGTAATGACCAACTCCAATTCCAGAGGACTAATGATGAAACATCTTGCCTACCTCTTGAGAGAAAGGTGAATGAGACAAATATAAATTTTGGAATGTGGAAATGTGTTGCTTTTCTTTTGTTCTCAATGAAGGGCAAGATTGAAGTGAGAGGCTTAGAAGGTGGATTTTTGCTAATTGAAACAATTTTTTTTAAATGATGAAAGGGATGGTTTCAGAAAAACCTGGGAAGACTTACATGAGCTGATATAGAGTAAAGTAAGCAGAACTAGTGCAACAATTTGTACAATAAAAACAATGTTGCAAATACAAACAACTTTGAAAGACTTAGGAACTCTGATCAATGACCATATCTCTAGAGCATTCATTATAAAACATGCTGCTCCCTTCTAGACAGAGAGAAGAGAGTCTCAGATTACAGACTGAGACTTTTTTTTGGACATGTCAACATGGCAATGTGTTTTGCTCAACTATACATGTTTGTAACATGAGTTTTATTTTTCTTGCTTTTTCAATGGAGGTGAGGGAGAAGTGAAGGAGGGAAAGATGACAGCTTTTCATGGATTGAAAAAATTAAATTTAAGAAAAGTTTCGGTTAGATGTATAATTCAACACTTTACTGAAAATTAGACTGAGACAGGAGAGAGGAGCTGAGCACAACAAACAATAACATTAATAGGGTCAATACTTTCTGCATGCATCAGAAACTTATTGGCATAATTAAAATTGTTGAAGAGCTGCAGAGCCAAGGCCCAGAGAGCAGAGGGATTAAAACTCTGTTGAAGAGGATTGTTCATATCTGGCAGGTTTTGCTATGTGTCTAATTTTAAATGACTGCTGACATACAGACCAAGCTACAGGACCTAGTAAAGCTGTAGGGGGAGGGAAGACAGCTAACTGGGGACTGAGTGTTGTTAGCTCAAGGCAATGAAGAGTAATAACCTGGGTAATCATATTATATAACTAACCTGTGGCCCCATTATCCACAATTTGGCTTTCTGAGATCCAACTAAGTTGGCTTTTCATGGGTGGTGGAAATGGGGCCAAGTGTCTAACAGACCACAGGGTGCTAACACACCTTCAGAATCCTTTCCAAGCCTTGCAGAGATACAGAATTGGGGTGTGTGTGTGTGTGTGTGTGTGTGTGTGTGTGTGTGTGTGTGTGTGTGTGCATGTGTGTGCGTGTGTGTTTAGTAGTTTTTTCTTCCTGACTTCAAGAACTGACTCTGTGGGATAGGGAGAGAAATGAAGATCTGACCTTAGAGGGATAGCTAACACTTACACAGCAGTAAAGATTCTGCCTCCTCATCGGCAAACCACAACACATGGTTAGCAAAACGCTCTGTTTGTGAAGATGGGTCACCCTCACAGGCAAAATCTGGTAAGCACTTTTTTTTTTAAGGTCTTTCAAAAAAGAAAAGCCCGTTGCCAAAAGGTCACCTAAGGTCCCAGCTACAAAAGCCAAAACAGGAAAATGCCCCTCCTCAAGATACAAAATACATCTAGCCTCTGGAACATACAATTGGTCCTTAAGCAAATCAAACCAATCTTACTTTAAACATAGCTGCTTGAGGTTCCCCGAGCTCATGAAATGGAGGCTTGCCTGTTGCCATTTCAATGATGGTACAGCCCAGGGACCAGATGTCAGCAGGGGCACCATATCCTCGAGGACCCTTATCAATGATCTCAGGTGCCATATATTGTAGAGTGCCTGGTTTAAGGGGAAAAAACAGTGAGGGAAGTCACACTTCTTATCCATCACAATAGTTTATTGAGTGCACTTGATAACATAAAACAGATATGTTTCCATTTCACTCCCCAAATAATGCTGCTTATGATACCATCCCTGAGACTTAAGAGCGTATGTGCTCCAACCTCTTCTTTGGCAGAAAGTCCCAACTGGGAATTCCTGGAAAGGAATCAAGATCAGAGACCAAGTCTAAAGTCCAAAAAAGTGAAACTACAGGAATATGGACATATAATAATAAATCATACTAGGACCAGTTAAAATTTGTCATTGAAAGACCATAATAAGGAGGAAGGTAGCTCTGGGGAGGGAGGGAGAGACAGAGACAGAAACAGGGACAGAGAGAGACAGAGACAGAGAGAAGGGGGGGGGTCAGCCATATTCCATCACCTATGGTTTTTGTTCCAATTGAGACCATTTCTCAATCAATTTAAAAATAAAGATCCATTTGCAGAAGGATGTAGGAACACATTTCAAAAGCTATATTCTATCCTGTAATGCTACCAATAAAACTTCTATTTCCTTTCTCTGATTTTCTCAGAAATCTAGTGGCTAGATTAGCATCTGGAAGACCTAGGTTTTGAGTCCTGCCTCAGATACACTACCTATGTGACCATGGGCAAGTTATTTAACCCCTTATTTCCCCAAGCTCTCTCAAAGTTGCAGTACAGTTGCTGATCTGTGTAGGTGAAAGGAGTTTTCACACTAGGAGTTTCCACAAACTTACAAAGGTCCAGACCACCTCCACACACATCTCCATCAAAAAAAAAAATTAGATCAGTGAGAACTCATAGAAAGAGAACTTCCAGACACTCCCAATTTATCCTGTAATATACCTAATTTGCACATAGATGTTTGCATGCTGTCTCCCTCATTAGTCTGTGAGCTTCTTGAGAACAAGGACGGTTTGTTTGGTTTTTTTTGCCTTTCTCTGTATCCCCAGCACTTAGGCTAGTGTCTGGCACATACGGGGCAGTTAATAATTGCTAGCTGACTGAAAGCATAACAAGGAACTGTTAATCAACTGAAGTGTTGAGTAAGACACAGTCTCATAAGGTTCTCTGCATTATTAAGAAATCCGTGAAACCTCAGGAAGGGGAACATAACTGTGACATAATATCCTTTGCAGGCTTAACAAAAGTCCCAATAACAAGAGTGAAAAGGTTTGGCCTAGAACACAATGCTCCCTCCAACTAATCCAAAATTAATTGATTACAGTCAGATTTTACAGGGTTATGCAATAAATGATAAAGAGCAGTTAAGCCAAACAGAAAGAACAAAGTGACCGTGGACAAAAAATATCCCACCTTGGGGCACTTTCTTTTACAATAATAACTATGGATGTGGGCATTAATGTTCGCTCTAGAGAAATGGTTTATATATGCAGACAGAGGCAATCTTAAGGGATTTTAAGCATCACCTGGGAGAAGTGATGGCAAAGGAAAAACAACCAAACCAGAAAGAAACAAAGAAAGACAAACAGACAGACAATATCGGCTATACAAGGATCAAGCAGTATGACTAGAGAGGGGGTAAAGTAACACTTCAAATAGATGTGCAAACTCATAGAATGTTTGTATGTAAGTGAAGATGCCAACTAATTTGCATCATAGGTGGGAGAGGAAGTGGGAAAACCCCAAATAGGGTCAGGAGAGTCAGAAAGGACTGAAACAACTGAATAACAATAAAGGGGGAGGATAGGAAGGGAAAGGAAGGGGAAGGGAATGAATCAGGATTTACATAGAGCCCATCATGCTCCAGGCACTGTGCTAAGCACTTCACACATATTATCTCATCGGACCTTCACAACAACCTTATGCGGGAGGTGCTATTATTATCTCCAGTGCACAGATGAGGAAATGCTAAAGTGAGGCAAGTGACTTGTCCAGGATCGCATGGCTAGGAAATGTCTGAGAATGAATTTGAACTTGGATCTTCCTGAGCACTTCCCAGCACTCTCTCCACTCCACCATCTAGCTACCTCAGGTGGTAGGGCTAAAGAACCTTAGACATCATTTAGCCTAACCTTTTGATTTCACAGATAATGCAGCTTGGGACCTCCAAAGGGGTTAAGTGACCCAAGGCTGCACAGCTAGTGACTGTCACACCCAGAATTAGATAAATACTTTCAGTCTGCTGCCCTTCAAAGGAATCCATTGGTCTATTCATTAGCACCACATAACACACCTTAGCTTTAGGATAATGCTGAAAAGTCATTTTCTTGTATTCCTTTTTTTTTTCCATAGGAAAATCATTCACTCAGAGCAGTCAAAAAGTATGCACGAGGGTGGAAGGAAACATACCCATGTGACTACTTCTAATAAATAGGAAAAGATGTTAATAGCAGGTTTAAATCTTTTCAGATATGCCTTGAGTGTGCAGAAGGAGTTCTGAGTCAGTTTACCTGCATCAAATGTAATAGTGCTACGTTGCTGCCACACTGGAGCCCAGATCATCCAGTCAAGTTTGCTTTCCTCTGACTCCCTTCCAAAGCTTTAAAATCAAGGACTTTGTAAGCTCCCTGAATTACATTTCTTTTTAAAAATATTTCATTGATGCTTTTTTTTAATATTAGTGTTACTGCTCAATGACTATTCCATCCTAACATGCCCAACAAAATGCTCCTGCTAACAAATAAGTTTTATTGTTAAATTGCTTTAGTCATGTCCGACTCATTGTAGCCCCATTTGAAATACCATAAAGAAAAATAAATCAACACATTGGCCATATCTAAAAACATGTACTTCATTTCCCACCTGTTCGCAACCGTTTCTTTGCCAATAAACAGGAGATTTGTTTCACCATCCGTCATCCTCTGCCATCCAGACTGGTCACTGCATCGATAGAGTCTGAGGTCTTTCACCATTGTTTGCTAAATTATGTTTCCCTTGAAACCCATACCATGTGCGGGTACAACGGAAAAAGCATCGATTTTGTCATTGCGGTCCTTTTATAACTTTTCACATGGCTATTTTACAACTGGGTTGAACAATAAATCTTTATTTAAGTTATGCAAAGCACAGTCAAAGGATCTGGATTCAAATCCTGACTCCACTACTTACTTTCGATGTTACCTTTAGCAAGTCAATTTACATCTCAGTGCCCCAGTTCTGTCATTTGTCAAATACAGAGTTAAAATGAATTGATCTGTAAGGTTCCTTAAGGTTCTAGATATATGATCAAGTATTTGCCCTCAGTTACATTTCCTAAGTGCTTGTATCTCAGACTGTAGGTGAAAGCCAGTGAGGAGATTACAATCTAATAGATGTCCCAGGAAAAATGCATGAAAAGGATAATCAGAATGAATCATGCTACCTATCTTCAAGCAGAGAGGTGATGGACTCAGGCCTTCAGCCCTCAGATTCTGATATTCTGTTAAAAAAAAAGTCTACAGCAAGTCGTTCAAAATTGTGGCTAATTCAGTCATACATAGCAATTCCCCAGATACCTACCTGCTTTATTCTATTATTTAAAAAAAATTGGGGAGATGCTCTTCAATTGGGGAATGGCTGAACAAACTGTGGTATTTGATTGTGATGGAATATCACCGTGCTATAAGAAATGATGAGCATAATGATCTTAGAAAGACATGGATAGACTTACACTAAATAATAAGAGGAAAATGAGCAAAACCATGAGAACATTGTATACAGTAACAGCAATATTGTTTTAAAAACAACTCTGAGTGAATGTCATTTGGACTATTACAAATATCTAAATTAACGCTAAGGACATATGAAAGAAGACGCTATCTGCATCCAGAGAAAGAATTGATAAATAGAAGTATGTATAGGATAATTTTACATATATAAACAAATTTCTGTCTAATAATAGTAGGGTGGGGATGGGGAGGGAAGAAAAAATGTAAAAAAAAAAAGAAATTCATGATAACTTTATTATATATTTAAAAGGAATAGCAAGTTACACATAATAGATTTGTAGTTTCATATGCAACCATCTTTTTTATTATATTATGTTATGAAAATATTTATTTTATTCCATAAATCAAAAATAAAATAAATAATTAAAAAACTGACTTCCCAAAGTTCCATGTTTTGAACTGGAACCAAGCAGGCAATGCTCTTCATAACCTACCAGGAAGGAAAAATCTGAGCAGGCTTTAAGGACAAGGTTCCCATTAGCCAGTTATTATAATAGTCTAAACCAGGAAACAGCAGTAAACTGAAAACTAGTCTTGGCTTTGTCAGTAACTAGATATGTGACTGAGAGCAAGGCTATTAATTGCTCTAGGCCTTAGACAGAGAACAGGATTTAGAATTAAAAAGACTTGAATGCCTCAGACACTTACTAGCTGTGTGATCTTAGGCAAGGCATTTAAATGCTCTGTGCCTCAGTGTTCTTGTGTGTAAAATGAAGATAATATCACCTACCACACAGGGTAGTTGTGAGGATCAAATGTGATAACACATGTAAAGCCCTTTGCAAAGCTTTAAAGTGCTATATAAATGCTAGCAATTATAATTGTAATACTTTTATTATTTCTATAATACCATTACTAAATAAGGAATTTGGACCAGCCACCCTCCAAGGTCACTTTCAACCCCGACATTCTATAAGTTTTTGTTCCATATACATCCTGTGTGTTTAGCAGAAGAAATGTTATCAATATGCTTTTTATACAACTATTTTATGATCAGGTAAAATAATAAATCTTTACTTAGTTACAGACAGCATTGCTTTCAAAGGACCTGAATTTCATAAATGTTATTGTTATGACATAACTACAAAGCACTTAATTTTTTAAAAAAGCCTTAGATGTTTCATTAATTTTCCTTCATGGAGTAAAGGTCACCCTGGGTTTAAAAGGCTCTGCCAACTGAATACAACCTCTGGAAGGCTGTATCAAGTTCAGGTCTGGCAGTGGACAGAATGTCTGCTGCCCAAAGACTGGCCTAGCTCAGTCTGGACAGGCTTAGTACCAGAAGAATGGCCAGTGGTGATGAAACTTTCCAGCCACAGTCAGTCACAGAAGAGTCTCCTAAGACGTAGAGGGTCTATGCTCTGCTTTAGACTATACACACTGATGAAATCATGAACTTCTGAAATACTAAGAGTCTTCTCGTTGTCTTAACTTTAGGTTATCTACCGAACCCCTTTCTCTCAGTGCTTATATTCTTCATTGGTGCATGCATGGAAGAAGAAATCCACTCTCTCAAAATACTCAGAATAACACACATCCCAAAAGGAACTGGGGGAAAAACAATTATTACAAAACACCAAAGGCCAGAAAAAATGTTGGGAACGTTAATTAGGCTTATATTATTAGATTTTTTTTAAATTATAGAATAAAGCAGGTAGATATCTGGGGAATTGCTATGTATGACTGAATTAGCCACAGTTTTGAACGACTTGCTGTAGACTTTTTTTTAACAGAATATCAGAATCTGAGGGCTGAAGGCGACCCTCAAAAGTCACAAAGCTTGACTTGCTCTTCCTGGACAAGAATTTATAATAATAATAATAATAATAATAACAACAACAATAACAATATAGCTAGCATTTATATTGCACTTGTTATGTGCCAGGCACTGTGCTAAGTGCTTTAGAAATATTATCTTGAACTCAGAACCTTGTAAAAATGAATGCTAAAAATTGTCTACATATAATTGGGAAAAAAACTATTTAAAAAAAAGAAATATTATCTCATTTGAGCCTCACAACTGCCCTGGGAGGTAGGTGCTATTATTATCCCCATTTGTAAAATATAAAATTTGTAAATTTGTAAAATTTTTGTTAAAAAGTACTGAGAAAACTGAGTCGAAGAGAAGTTAAGTGATTTGTCTATGGTCACACAGCTACTGAGTGTCTGATGCTGGATTTTAATTCAAGTTTTCTTGACCCAAGCCTAGTATTCTATCCACTGAATCACTTGCTGTACAATTATATCTAATCTACATCATACCAATTAAGGCATTATACAGTCTTTGCTTAAAAGTGCCCATGGGAACCCACCAAGGCAGCTCTTCTCACTTCTGGAGAGCCCCAATTATTAACTCTTAAGGAATTATTTGTTAGATTGTTTGACTATAATTTTATTCACACAAAGAATTCCTAGATAGGAAACTCTCTCTTAACCAATGCCTATGGACATATGTTCTGCAATTTACATTCTCAGAGAATTAGTTGCCAGTGGCACAGACAACTCAAGTGACTTGTCCAGGGTCACACAATCAGTACATGTCAGTCAGGATTTGAACCTAAGACTTCCCATCACTGAGGCCAGTTCATGATGCCTCTGTAAGAAGTTTATAGAGGGAGACACTGGACCTGTGATTTCATTTGTATAGGGAACTCCCAGGACCTGCTCTGAAGCTTCTAATCTTAGAGAGCTGTCTAGACTCAAGTCAAGTCAACAAACCTTTACAAAGTCCCTACTATGTGCCAGGCACTGTGTTTAGTGCTGGGAATACAAAGAGAGGCAAAAACAGTCCCTGGCTTTAAGGAGCTTACAATCTAATGGGGAGAGAGAAAATTCAAGCAACTATGTGCAAACAAGATATATGCAAGATGAATTGGAGATAATCTTGGAGGGAAGGCACTAAAGGAAGACCACAGAAGGTTTCTGTCAGAAGGTAGGATTTTAGCTGAGACCTGAAGGAAGCCAGAGCAATGAGAAGTAAAGAAACTGACTGAGTCACACAGCCAAGATGCGTAACAGTTAGGGCTTGAGCTCATATCTTTCCTAGATCCAAGGCCATGTGTCTAACCACTACACCAATGCTGCCTCCCAGGAAGTTTACAGGGACCACTATTTGCTACACAGTATACATATTGCCCAAAGACTGAGAACACTCTCATAAAATCTCAATGTCAACAAAACAAAAGCTGAAGAGGAAGAAAATCAGGCAATCAGCACACAGCCCATGACCATGTGACAGACTGAGTTACAAGGCAAAATGGGAACAGGGCTTGTTTTATAAAACAAACCATCCACATGAAACATCACTCTACCTACTCTTTTTCCAGAAAGCCTACTTAGTTTCTATGCACGAAGATATTACCAAACAGTGACATCTGCTCATTTGACTTTCACATCCTTATCACAGATGAAACCAAGGTACCAGAGCCTTCTAGAGAAGCCTGGATTGGTTCTACCCACCCGTGAAGGTCTCTGTGCACGGATTCACTCCCGCGAGTCGTTTGGAAGTCCCAAAGTCAGAAATCTTCACCACTCCACTATAAGTATTTACTAAAACATTATCACCCTGAAAATAAGAAGAAACAGGCATCCATAAGTGAACTCAGATCCCCATGCTTCTTTCACAAGTTTCTGGGAAGACAGGAAATAGAATGGTGGGGGCAGTTACAACAGAGGCAGATGATGAGTGATATTTTGTTGGGTGTGTAGGTGAGTATGAATGAATGTGTGTGTGTGTGTGTGTGTGTGTGTGTGTGTGTGTGTGTGTGTGTGTGTGTGTGAGAGAGAGAGAGAGAGAGAGAGAGAGAGAGAGAGAGAGAGAGAGAGAGAGAGAGAGAGAGAGAGAGAGAGATAAGCTCACAACAAGTATTCTTGCCAGCTCCTATTATTAGAGGAAGAGAATGAAACTTTAATAACCCTGGGGAGGGGAGAGACAAGCCAAAGTACCTTTATATCCCTATGAACTATCTGGTTTTCATGGAGATATTTAAGGCCCTCCAATATCTGCTTGGTATAAAATTTTATTGTAGGTTCTTTCATTGGGCCCCATTTTGATCTCAGAAGGGCAGAAAGACTTCCTGGAAGAGATAAAGCAGAGAATACATTCAATTTGTATGCTAAACACATTTAATATTCCCCTCTCTACCAGCGGCCAGTTGGCTGTGAAGTGAAGACAGCATACTTTTTATCCAGATTAATTTCCCCTAGGCTGTTTTTATTTATCATTGGCAGCAATTCTGTAAGAGCAATTAATGAGCTGTGCACTGTGCCTAATAAAAATGTATTTGCAAAAAGTTAGTCGTAGATTAGCATGGATTCACCCATTTATTCATTCAATTAAAAGAATGTATTAAGTGTTTATTCTCTGCTAGGTGCTGAGGAAGATTCAAAGTTTAAATAAGACTGAGATTTCAACAAGCTGACAGTTTATGTCAATTTAGCCACTGTCAAAAGAGAACTAATGTAACTAAGAAATATAGCATATATTTAGAGCTGGAAGCCAAATACAGCCTATATTTAGAAGTCACGGGATATCAGGGACCTAGTTTAAAGATCTAGAAATGGAAGATATAGGCCATCTAGTACAAAGTCTTCCTTTTACAGAGTAGGTAGTACAGGCCAGTTATACTGACCTGGCCAAAGTCATGGAAGTACTAAGTGGCAGGGGCAGGATTTGACCTCAGATCCTCTTTCAAAGTCTGTACTTTTCCCCTCTATTACACATTCCTTCTTTCCTTTCTTCTCTTTCATTCTTTCTTTCTTTCTTTTTTGTCTTTCTTCAAGATCAGAAAAGTCAATGCTTTTCACATATAAGACTTTTCAGTAATGTGGTATGATGTTCATTTGAATCTTAGCTCATCACTTACTGCCTGCGTGACATAGGGTGAATTGCTTTCCCTCTTTGGGCCTCCCTTTCCTCATCTAAATGGCAGGGTTGAACTAGTCAGTTAGTCAGTCAATCAATAAACATTTATAAAACACCTCCTTCGGGCCAGACGCTGCGCTAAGTGCCAAAGACACAAAGAAAAGTAAAAGACAGTTCCTGCCCTCAAGGAGCTCTCAGTCTAATGAGGAACTCACTAGTTGTTAAGTCATTTCAGTCATGTCCAACTCTTCGTGACCCCATTAGGAAAGATACTAGAGTTATTTTCCATTTCCTTTTCCAGCTCATTTTACAGATGAGGAAACTGAGGCAAGCAGGGCTGACTCGTCCAGGATGACACAGCTAGAACATGTCTGAGGCTGGATTGTCTTCCTGATTCCAGGCCTAGCACTCTATCCACTGTACCACCTAGCTGCCCCCAAAGAACTCACTAGATTACTTCTAAGATCCCTTCCAGCTCAAAATCTGTGATTCTAAATATAGCTCACGATCATCACAATCTGTAATTCTAATGACAGTAATTGCTGGTGTTTGTACAGCATTTCAAGGTACACAGCATATTCTTTACATCAATCCCATAATGTAGATAGTACAAATGTTATCTTTACTAATAAAAAACTGAAGGCTCAGAGGTTAAATGACTTGCCCATTGTGATATAGTTATTATTGTTAAAGGTAATAATTATTTCACATATACACATACACACACACACACACACACACACATATATGTATGTATATGTGTGTGTATGTATGTCAGCTATGTTGTAGTGTAGAGCACTGGACCTGGAGTCAAGAAGGCCTGAATTCAAATCTAGCTTCAGACATTTATAGTTGTATGACTCCAGACAAGCTAGTTAACCTTCTTGCCTCAGTTTCCTCATCTGTAAAATGGGGATAATAATAACACATACATCCAGGATTGCTAGGGTAGCTAGGTGATACAGTTGCTAGAGGGCCAGGCCTGGAGTCAAGAAGACTCATTTTTGTCAGTTCAAATCTAGCCCCATACACTTAGTGTGACCCTGGCCAAGTCACTTAACTCTGCCTCAGTTTCCTCATCTGTAAAATGAGCCACAGAAGGAAATGGCAAACCACCCCAGTATCTTTGCTGAGAAAACCCCAAATGGGGTCATGGAGAGTCAGACACAACTGAAACTATGAAACAACAACCAGGTTTCATAGTTTCGGGGTTGTTGTGAGAATCAAATGAGATAATAATGGTAAAGCACTTGGCACATAGTAAGCGCTATATAAATGTTAGCTACCAGCCATTATTCTGATACACAGCTCTTTAAGGTTTGCAAAACACTTTATATCATCTGATTTGAACCTCACAACAACCCTGGAAGAAGGTGCTCTATTATTATTCCCATTTTACAGATGAGGAAACTGAGGGAAAGGTCAACTGACCTAATAAGCCTCAGAACTGGGATTGAAACCCAGAACTCCTGTCTCCAAGTCTAGTCCTCCTCCCACTAAATTTAGTTTATAGTACCCCTTATATAGGACTTTGCTGTGACAAAACACTTTCAGACCTATCTGATTCTTACAACAGTCCTATGAAGTGGCTGGCACTCCAAGAATTATTATACCCATTTTACAGATGAGGAATCTGTATCTCATCTCAGCTCAAGTAACTTGGCCAATGTCATATAAGTAAGTTCATGAGTCAGGACTGAAACCCAAATCTTCTAGCTCAAAGTCCAGTGAGTCTTCCTTGCTCAATCCTGGTGCTCACCAACTGGACAGCCCCAGGGCATAGGAGGAGAGGTCTTGACCTGGAGTTAGGCCACAGAGGTTCCAATCCCATTTCCTCCACTTAGTCTGTTATAACAATGAGAAACATTGCTGAGACTCAGTTGCCTCATCTACAAACAGGGATTTGTGCTGTAACATTTGTAACTAATATAACCTTTGTGCCATCTTCCACATAGGATTATTGTGAGAAAATGTGTTCTGTAAACAAGAGCAATGTAAATTATAATTATTAAGCCCACATACCAAGCATCAAATAAAACCTGAAAAATTCAAACATCTGATGGCATGCAAAAGGTTTGTGCTTTGCCAACCAAAGAGCCAGATATTTAACTGATTTTTCTTTTTGCTTTCTTTTTGCTTTTTTTTTTTGGTTAGGCAATCAAGGTTAAGTGACTTGCCCAGAGTCACACTGAGGCCAGATTTGAACTTAGGTTCTCCTGACTGCAAGGATGGAGCTCTATCCACTGCACCACCTAGCTGCCCCTCAACTGATTTTTTAAAACATTTTTATGGACATGTCTGCCACTAAAGTAGTTCTGTTTTCACGCCCACCAAAATGGACAGAACTATTCTTCAACCTTAGGTTATTTTCTAAAAATCCTTCGTATCCCAGTCATAAAGTTCCCCTATTCCCTCAAACCAAACTTCAAATCAGAAAATATGCCTCCAATGATCCCATGATCTACAAAAAAAGACATACTACTGGGCTTCATAAACCTCATCCATAAAATGAGCTGGAGAATGAATGAAAAATCACGAAGCAGAGAGGAGATAGAAAAATGTTTTATTTCTGCATTTCACAGCATAGGAACAGTAATGCAAAGTCACAAACCTCCAGGCACCTGCTCCATAAAGATTTTAATGTAGCCATCTTCTGAAACAGAGCCTAGATATTGGACAATGTTGCGATGTTTCAAATACTTGTGCAGGGCTATCTCTTCATGTAAAGGCTGAGAGTACCTATGATGATGATGATAATGATGACAGAAATGTTAATAGCATTTATATAGCACTTTAAAGTTTTGCAAAGCACTTACAAATACTTTTTCATTTTATCCTCACAATCTAAGAGGTAGGTTATTATTGCCATTTTACAGATAAGGAACTGAGGAAGACAGAGGTTAAGTGACTTGCTCAGGGCCACCCAGCTAGTATCTGAATGAGGTCAATATACTCTACCCACCAGAGTGCCAAGAGAGAAACAGGGAATCATTGACCCTTGAGAGTTGAAAGTCACTTTTTGGTGTTGTTGAGTCATTTCACTCGTGTCTGACTCTCCCTAACTCCATTTTGGGTTTCTTGGCAAAGATAAATGAGATGAGGAAACTGAGGCTGACAGGTACAAATGATTTGCCCAGGGCCACACAGCTAGGAGGTGTCTGAGGCCATATTTGCACACAGGAAGATGAAATTTCCTGATTGCAAGCCCAGTGCCCTATCCACTGTGTCAGTGTTAAGTAAGGTGAATTTTAGTATGTGCAATTAGATAATTGTTCCCATGAATTATGGCTGAAAACAACTTCTGCCATGCAGTTATAGCAGAGACATAGAGGGGTGACATAACGTGATATTTACTACATGTGCTAGGCCATGAAGCTATTGCTAAAGTTTGAGCTTAATGCTGGCAAGATGCCTTCTTTGTCCGTTGCCCTAGAAAGCAAGTGGGCACTAGTAAGGAGAAAACCCATTCCGGGATTTCGGTTATGCATAGACGAATGCATATACCTGTCTTGATTGGCCCCCACTGAGGCTTTGGGGGAATCTGTGTGCTTGCCTCCAGTGGCCCCCATTGAGGCTAAGGGGATCGATAAGGAGTCGTAGCTCCTACTATTCTTACCCACCCCTGTCAGAATTGTGATTGGGGAATGCTGTAGGAGTTAGAGTTCCATTATCTGCAAACACTCTCTTGAGAAGACTATACTAGAATAAAGTAAGCTTCCTTAACCCCTCTGAAGCTTCCTTCCTGTTTGACCAGATCAAAAGTGAACCTTTGCTAGAGCACCTGTTATTGTTAGGAGCCCTCCTGTGTTCTCCTGCCCAACAAATAGTGTTACCTATGTGTTTACATGTGAAACATATATATATGCCTATATACACATAACATTTCAGATATAAAAAAAGATTCATCTAAAAATAGTATGGAGTTCCATTCTATTTCAGGGTATATACCTTGTTAAGTGGTCTCATGTTTCTGAATTCACTATTTCAAATTATAATTACATAAAATATGGCCATTGGTTCCACCCACTGGAAAATACAGTATAAGTTTGAATTATACAGCCACTCTACTGGATTCATTATTTGCACTGACTGAGACTTGGCCTTATTAGAATCACTTTTTAAACAGTATAATTATTTTTCTTTTTTGACTGGCCCTGTTATTTTATCAGCTATAAGATGCTCCAAGGAGGAAATCCCCTCTATCAATGCAGATCAACACCTCTGCAGCTAATGAATTCTCTCAGAGAGTTGCCTGGAGAACTAAGGGACTGAGAGGTTTGCCCAAGCTTACATTCTTATCAGCCTATCAACCACAGGACTAGAACACAGGTCTTTGAGGCCAGTGTTGTATCACTATGCAGACTACCTCTAATTTTCTTAACTGTGAAATGTTACAACTCAAATGTCACTTAGATACCTTACAACATTCCGATCTATTTGAATTGCTTTTCCTCCCACAAAATTTTAGACAACACAAATATCCATGTTGGTAATAATTATTCCTTACCTGTCTGAGCCACCTAAACTACCAGTCATTGTCTTGGAGATGCCATCCATGAGACGGCTACAATGTGACTCATTTACCTACTGTCTCTCTCAGGTATCTCTTTGATAGCTATTCGAACTTGGTTGCTAAGATCTCTCCCGGCATATACAATTCCATACGTGCCTTTCCCCAGGACCACTTTTTCACCATTCTCATCATAATCATATTCATACTGGGGGGAAAAAACAGGGAGACAGAGAAACACAGTGCTTCATGCAAAAACTTCTTTTAATATCAAAATAAAAAAAGATAATCAGCAATTATGGCTTTTAAATTTATATTTCATATATATACATATATATGTAAAGACACAAACATAAAGAAACAAAGTGTTATTTGAGAACAATACTACCACTAATTTCTTAGATACTTAATTTTTAATTATATAATTATTCCAAAGGCATGGAATTTCTAGCCATTATTTACACACATATCTATTACTTTATTCTGTAAGTGAACTTGTAATTTTACAGGTATAATTTTTATCAATTTTAGAACATGAAAGGTATTGTGGTAAAGGCAAATACACAAAGAAATATGCTACAAGGGAGAAGATTAGTAAGTTGAAAATACATCTCAGAGATGATAGAGAGATAGATGATAGATGGATGGAGAAAGGAAGGAAGGAGAGGGAGGGAAAGAGAGGGAGAAAGGGAGTGGGAGAAGGGGAGAGGGAGAAGGGGAGAGAAAGAGGGAAAGGGAGAAGGAGAGAGACATAGAGAGAGGTTCCTATCACTGATGTATGCAGTTACATGAACTCTGATGAATTTGAAATCTAGAACTTTCTAAAAAGAGCTTCCATCTTATTAATTTTTTTATCTCAAATAGCCATTTATTTATCTTTCTAGTATAGCCCAGAATTCATTTTAAAAAATTATTTTAGCTACTGTGGATATTCCCTCCACAGGTGCAGATCACAACCCCCTCTAGCTTAAATAGTCTTTCTGAGTTACTGTGGCTAAAAAATTCATTGTCTGGCAGCCACCCCTCTAGTAAGTCCTTCCAAACTTTGCATCACAAACCTCAAGTCCATCACAGTACCCTGCTTAGAGTCTTTCTGGCTTGGTACAATTTGCCATACTTTGAGCTCCAATCAGAAAGGGTTTAGAGAAATCAGGGTCATCTCCATGAGGTACTGAAAAGTGCTTCAGGGAAAGGCTTAATTAATATGTATCATTTTTTAAAACTTCTCCTAAAGCAACCCAGAGGTATAGCTTCAATACGACTTGAAAGCACAGTAAAACTTCATTAATTATAAATAAATGGAGCTGGGAAGATGGGTTTAAATTACTGGTAAATCTGGTTAATTATACAATAGTTCCAAATACATACAAGTAATGTGAAAAACAGGCCAATTTAGTGTTGCCAAGGAAAAGTCTCTACTGAGCTGATTTCTGAATAGATGAAAACTCTTTATATCTGGTAGCTAAAGGAGATTTAAGAATGCTTGAAAAGATCTGCTTTAAATTGCCTAACCATGCCCCCTTATAATCTTCCACATTTAGCTTATCAAAGACTTTATTCCATTCAATTAAGAACATGACGCTGGAAGAGATATAAAGATTTTTAAAGACCCAGTCCACATCCTAATGGAGTTAATAATCTAGCTTTTAAAAACTACATATGGGCACAGCTAGGTGGAGCAGCAAATAGAGCACCAGCCCTGGAGTCAGGAGGACCTGAGTTCAAATCCAGACTCAGACACATAACAGTTACTAGCTGTGTGACTCTGGACAAGTCACTTAATCCTAATTGCCTCACCAAAAAAAAAAAAATTACATATGTATAGACAAATTACTTATTATATTTTCCAAGGTACTAGGTAGTTTGAAGGATCACAAAGCTAGGGCTAGAAGGGACCCCAGAGGCCACTGAGTCCAACCCTATTGATGGGGTGGTGGAACTTGGACCCCAAAAAGCCCTAAGACCATGTCTAAGTAATCCAGACCCACCATCCCTCCCCATGAAAGAATTCTCTCCTTCTTACAGGCACAAACAGGGTTGACCCCATAATTCCTCAGACAAAAGCTGTCTCAGGGGTGCCTACCTAAGGACCATGCTCTGGCAAGCCTTCTATCTTGCCCCCTCAACAAGGTTATCTCTGTTGATTCCCCGAGTTTTCCCATCCATTCCAGCAGCCCAGCATCCAGACAACTTGCATATGCTGACCACTCCCATATGCTGACCACTCCCTAATCCCACTCCACATCACCTAATTAGCATACTTGGCATCCTCTCACTGCTCCTTTTCCATATAAGCTTTAGTATCACCCTCATCAGGTTGCAAGTTCCCTAAGAGCCCTTGCCTGCTTCTATTGGAGTCACAATAAACTTTGCCACTTGATTGGAAGATGGTTTGAGCGCATGAATTCATTCCAGGCAACTCTGCTTTGTACCCTGACATTCTGGGGTCCCAGCACCCCTAAAACATTCAGCACCCCCTAAACCGCATCACTATTATTCTACAGATGAGGAATATGAGGCTTGGAGAGGTTAAGTGAGTTGCCCAAGGTCACACAGCTATCAAGGATCTGAGGTGGACCTTGACCTCAGGTCCTTCTGACTCCAAGTACAGCTCTCAATCCATGATGCCAAAATGCTTTAAGATTCTTTCAAACATATTTTGGGGAAAGGTTTGAGAAATATGATATAGGTTTCATTTCATGTGTATGTCTAGGTGGAGGGCATTCTGGTTGGATACAGAAGATGTAAACCAGGCTGGATGGCAAGAGACCAGAGTAGGAATTATAGGTACTGACTCATAGGCCACAGCATAGGAAGTTTAAAGGATTTTACACTAGTTCCTGGTTTGGGTCCTTAGAAAGTGGCCCTTGGGGCCAAATAGAAGGGTTCCCCACTGGACATGAGGGATATTACAGAAAACATGAAGCTCTGGGTTTTCATCCAAAGTTAATGTCTCAGAGCAGCTCTTTTTCTCTGGTCATCTGCCCAGATTTCCCATGAAGTAAGCCTGGACTAGACTATTCTTTCTAATTTCCCTTTCCTTTCAGTCTTTCTTGTGAAGCTTTTCTTTGTTGACAAAAGGATTACTCATTTCATTCTGTAGCTAGTCTATGAAGAACTAAGGTATGAGACTATTGGTGTGTCCCACACAGGTAAACTTAGACCCAGTCCAAATTGTCACACATTTTGACTTCATGATATGCAGAATATACTGCAATGACATGTTGAGGAAAGACTATTCTTTATAACAATAGCTATATTATTTATTACTGTTCTAATTTTTAAAAATTGTAAACCATTTTATGTGAAAAGCAATAGTAAAATTCATTGTACTCTTCATTAATCATCAAAAACAACAAAGAATTTTATTTAAGTTCAATCAGAGGACGAAAATGGAGAAAGTATTGTCAGAATTCTCAATTCTTATTCATAGCCTTTCATCTCTAATGACACAAGACTCACCTCTAATGTGTCGCCATCAATCTCCCCTTCTAATTCCACCGTGCAGCCCACCACATCCGTTATAATCTCTTTGACTAAAGAGCAAAACCTGGAAACAACAAATGTCACCGAAAAATGCATAAATTTATGATAACTGTATTCCCCCATCTTCACCTTCACACTTTTGTTAAATTCATCACAGGTGAATGAGCAGCAACAGAGGGTGATGCTTGGAATTTGGGGGTCAGGTGGGGGAAGGAAAAGTCTCTTCTCTGAATGGCAAATGTTTGGAGTTTGGGGGTGACCAGCTAACTATACTTTTTACCTGACAGTTTTTTAATCTTACCTAAATGGCAACATAGAGACTGGAGCATTAAAAAAAGAACCAAAATGTGAAATTTAGAAATGAAAATAAGGAAAACAAATACATACTAACACATGAATTAATTGAACAATAAAAAATATTTGTTAAATAGCCTTATTATACATTCTTTATATAAATAATCATAATTCTCCACCCCAGAAGTCTTCAGAGGAAAAATTTTTGTGAGGAATAATTTTCATTTCCTTAAAGCTTGAGACTACCATGGAAAATGGTGGTGATAAGGAATATTTACAGTAAAGTCCCTAAATGAAGCCGGAGAAAGGCACTAGGTTTTCAACTTTTTCTGTGTCATAGATACCTTTAGCAGTATAGTGAAATTATTCTCAAAAAGGTTAAACAGAGACCCTTTCTCAAAATGATATTTTTAAATGCATACAAGAAAACACATAGGATTGCTAAGGAAACTAATTATATCAAAATACAATCAATAAAATACATATTTTTTTTTTAATTCACAAGACAGGTTAAGAATCTCTGTGCTAAAAAGACATGGTAGGAATTCAGAGAAACATGGTAAGAGTTTAATGAACTGATATTTAAAGCAAAGATGTAGCAGCTAGGAGGTGCAGTGGAAAGAGTAACAAGCCTGGGGTCAGGAGGATCTGAGTTCAAATACAGCCTCAAACACTAGCTATGTGACCTTGGGCAAATCACTTAACCCTGTTTGCTTCAATTTCCTCATCTGTAAAATGAGCTGGTAAGGCAGCTAGGTGGCGCAGTGGACAGATCACGTGCCCTGGAGTCAAGAGGACCTGAGTTCAAATGCAACCTCAGACATTTACTAGCTGTGTGACCCTGGGCAAGTCACTTAACCCCATTGCTTAGCCCCCCCCCAAAAAAAAGGCAAAATATCTGGGGAGAGAAAATGCAAACTACTCCGGAATCTTTGCCAAGAAAACCCCAAATGGGATCACGAAGAGCCAGACATGACTGAATAACAATAACAACAAAAATAAAGCAAAAAGAGCAGAGCTAGGAGAACAATATACATAGTCACTACAATAACACAAATGAAACAACACTAAAAAAAAAAAGCAAAATTAATTGCAATGACCCATCTGGACCCAGAGTAGAAATGATAAAATACACCTCTCTTCTCAGGAGAGAGTTAAGGAACTACGGGACAGCAATGTTGCACATGCTGTCAAACTAGTCAGTTTTGTTTAGCTGTTGTAGGTTTTGATGTTTCTTTCATTGTTGTTGTTAAAAGGGAGAAATCAGGAAACTATCAAGAAACCTTTTTTTAAAAAGAAAATGGGAAAAAAAGGCATGGTAGCAATGAGTTTAATAACCAACCTGATATTACTGCTTTGAGATCTGGGGAGCCCTATTCTAGACCAGAAAATATACCAAATTATAGGTACATCCTAATTAATGCAAATAAATAATTCCTTTAAGTGTTTACAGGTTGCCAGATGTCTGACTATTGGATAAGTGGGTTATTGTCATATTGTGTTTGAAACATATGATTATAGTTCCATTTGTAACATTTTAAGACAGCAAGTTCAAAAAATGCAATTTTCTTTCAGACCACAAGTGGTAACTCTGTGGGGACCCCTTTAAACAGGTTTACCATACTTCAAATACATGAAACAGAAATGGAATTAACTCACCTACTGCACTGGTCTTCAGTAGAAAAGTAAATTTGAAAGTCATCAGAGTTATCATGGACATAAAGAAAACAACACCGTTCATCAAACTTGGATATGCTGGAAAATGTTCATTTAAAAAGAAATATTACATATAACTTGGGGTATAGAGACCTTAAATTTACTGGAGAATTCTTAAATTACTACAAAACTGCTTCCATTTTAAAGACTTAATGTCCCAATGACCTGCCTAATCAGTCTTTGATTTCCATATGAATAAAACTTAAATAAATGAGAAATGTTTCTCTTGCCATTTTGAGTCTGTGTTCACCAATTTAATTCAACAAACATTAATTAAGCATCTACTCTACCATACAGAACTGGGCAAGATACTGTAAGGGAGACAAAGGGGCATGTGCAGAGAAAAATCACAAAGAGAGCTGTTGTTTCCATTAAAAATGGAATATAATGCTCAAAACAGTAAATAGTTGTCATTTTTCATTCATACTGACCTTATTCCCCTAATGGAGGAGGCTGTAAAATTCCATTCATGAATTTGTTTCTGTAGGAACCAAAGACACAAGTCAAAAGTTCCATGTTAGACAGCAAAACATATGTTTATGTTTACGTTATGTTTAACAGGGTCATTCTCTTTTTCATTCAATATTCAATTACACATGCTAGTTTTCTCAGCATGAGATACAATTTTACATTTTTTAAAAATCTGCATTTTACTATAAAAATAAGTAACATAGAATAATAGAAATGTATTCCAGAGTATTCATAAAATTGATTTAGGTACACTTCCACTTACAGCAGAAAGTCTCTATTTTGGTATACTAGAAAACTCCTCTCTATGAAGTATATTTATCTTCCACTGACTTGTCAGAAACCACAGAACAAGACCAGAATGTATTAATCTAACAAAGCAGTGGCAGCATAACATATCTAGAAGAGCTAGACCTATGATGGGAGGTCAGAACCATGGGAAGCAAAAACAAAGCCTTGGAAAGCATTTTCCTTGAAGAGAATTCTTTTCTTTTTCCTTTTCCTCTCTCTTATTCCTGACATGCCGGATAAAAGAAATAAGTAGAATGGAAGGAGATCTAAGGGTACAGGGAAGGCTGCAAAGAGGGGTCTCTTGGTAGGTCCAAGCAATGTAGCCACAGGGTCACATAAGAGGGTCACAAGCTCCTAAGAGACTTCAGGATTCACCTCACTTTTGGGGGCCTCAATCTTCTCAGTTACAAAATGAGGGGGTTGAACTCAAGGCATCTAAGGTCTCTCTCAGCTCTAAGTCTTAGGCTCCCATCCAAGTTATTAAAAAGGCTTTCCGAAGGTACTTTGTGAGCCTTGAATGTGAGTTACGCAAGCTCTATGTATGTGAGCTCTGGGTTATATGTCTCAGGCCATCCTGGATCAAAAGGGAGAGTTAAGAGTAAAACCAGATTAAACTATACGGACAGATTAAATTATATGGAGAGAACTAAACTAGATCCAAACACAGAAGAGAAATAATAGCACTAGGATGATTCTGAGGAAAGGAAGAACTGAAGCCTTATTCTACCTTTGGGTAGGCACCACTTGAAGCTGACTACACTGAGTCAACCCAAAAATTAGTGTAGGCTTATAGAGCACTTAGAGGACTCAAATATAAGGCAACAATTAATAAGTACCTATTCTTTTGTATCCCAAAAATATTTTTTTAAAAAGGGGGGAAGGGAGGACCTATTTGTACAAAAATATTTATAGCAGTTCTTTTCGTGATGGCAAAGATTTGGAAATTGAGGGGAGCTCCATCAAATGGGGAATGGCTGACCAAGTTGCAGTATATGATATGAGTAATATTATTGTGCTATAAGAAATGATGAGCTGGATGGTCTCAGAAACAGCTAGAAAGATTTACATGAACTGATGCAGAGTGAAGTGAGCAGAACCGAGAGAACATTTTACACAGTAACAGCAATACTGTATGATGAATAACTGTGAATGACTTAGCTATTCTCAGCAATACAATCTCAAAGAACTTCTAATGAAAAATGCTATCCACCTCCAGAGGAAAAATGTTCTGAATGCAGACTGAAACACACTATTTTTAACTTTCTTAATTTTTTATTTTATTTGAGTATTCTTCCACAGAATGAGTAAAATATATGTTTTACATGATTATACATGTATAACCTATAGCTGATTGCTTACTGTCTCAGGGAGGGAGGGAAAAAGAGGATTTGAAACTCATTTTTAAAAAATGAATGTTAAAAATTGCTTTTATATTGGAAGAAAAAGAAAATATTATTAAAAAATAAGTACCTATTCTGTTAAAAAAAAAAGGCAAAAAAAAATTAAGTCCTTGCCTTTGAGGGATTTACATTCTACTTAAGAGATAACAACACTCACATGAGTAAGTAAATACAAAAATGACTTAAGAAAGACAGAGAGAGAGAGAGAGAGAGAGAGAGAGAGAGAGAGAGAGAGAGAGAGAGAGAGAAAGAGACAGAGAGAGAGAGAGAGAGAGAGAGAGAGAGAGAGAGAGAGAGAGAGAGAGAGAGAGATGGAGCACTAATAACTGAGGGAATCTGGAAAAGTCTCCTGTAGGAGATGTTCCCTGAACCATGCCTTTAAGGAAGGTGGGGATACTACCAGGCAATAATGAGGAGGGAATTTCTTCTAGACATAGGGGATCATTTGTGCAAAGCATATGACATGTCATGAAGGGAGACAGTTACTAGGATAATAAAGCAACACTACTCAATAAAATAGACCACTCAGTTCATAGCACTAGGGAATGGCCCAATTAGAGATCAAACACCCTAGCACGGGTAAACATTACAGGTTAACCAATCACTGCAGAGGGGTCAAGTACTATTTTATCTGGGTTCTATAAGCAATACCAGTGGGAGAAAGAGGGACAAGATGGCTAATAACTCCAAACCCTGAAACAGTTACAGCCTGCTTCTGTCCCAAACAGAACCAATAGATCTCCAAGCTCTCTGCTGATGAGATCTTCTGGAATACCAGAAGGGCACTATAAAAGGTGCTACAAATACAAAATAGAGGAAAAATGATGATGAGGATGAGAATAATAGACATTAAAAAAGAACTTTAAAGTTTGCAAAGTACATTATGTACACTACTGACCTGAGCCTCACAACAACACTGTGAATTAGGTCCTGCAAGTATTATAGATAATATGCATCAGGGGAAGGAATGATCACTAGGGGCTTAGCAGTTGCAGAAGGACTCATAAAAAAGGTAGGACTTAACTTGAGCTCTTGAGAATTTATGAACCTTGTGTGTGTGTGTGTGTGTGTGTGTGTGTGTGTGTGTGTGTGTGTGAGAGAGAGAGAGAGAGAGAGAGACAGAGAGAATGTGAGAGAAAGACAGAGAGAGACAGAAACAGAGAGACAGAGAGAAAAAGAGAAAGACAGAGAGACAGAGAGATAGAAAGAGAGAGAGACAGACAGCAAAAGAGATTTCGGGACACAAGATGGCATGAAGAAGAAATCCAGTGGTGAAAAGGGAAGAAAGGGAGAGATCAAGATCTTGGGTTTCCATGAGTTTATTCTGGTAAAAGACATCACAGAAGGTGGGGGGATGCCAGGGGAGCTGACCTGAGATGCAGCAGAATTGGGGAAAGGGAAAAAGTATACTACACAGTCATTTTGTATGTTAATTAATTATTCTTCATAGCTAGGTGCTAAGCTAAGTTGTTTCTATCTTGTTGAAGACATATGCTATGAGCTGTATATAAATTTCAATGCCTTGGGGCAAAGTTTCGGTTAACTTGTCCTAGTTACAACTCTGGAGAAAGACATCCTTGGCAGGAACAAGGATATGAAAATAGGAATGTATACAGCCTGTTTGGAGAGTACCAAAAAGCCAAATTTGACTGGAGTGTGGAGTTCATACAGGGCTGGGCTGCAGAGGCTTTTGCTGAATGTCAAGCTAAAGAATTTGGATTTTAACCTATAGGCCAGTGGTGTCAAACAGATCTCTGCAGGCTTCATATTGACTTAGAAGATCAAAATTAACATTATGCATGTTTTACTGGGCAGCTAGGTGGTACAGTGGATAGAGCACTGGAATGAGAAAGACCTGAGTTCAAATACAACCTCAGACACTAGTTATGTGACCTTGTGCTAGTCTCTTAACCCTGTTTACCTCAGTTTCCTCATCTGTCAAATGATCTAAAGAAGGAAATGGCAAATCGCTCCAGTATCTTTGCCAAGAAAACCCCAAATGAGGTCATGAAGAGTCAGACACGACTGAACAACAACAAATGTTTTATTGTTATTTTAATTTATTTTGTTAAATATTTCCCAATTACATTTGGTAAACTCAGTCAGTTTGCCACCTCTGCTGAGGCGATGGGTAGCTACTATACATTTTTGAACAAGAGGAGCACATGCACAAATGAACAAATGTGGCATATTATTCTGGAGGGAAGGTTGGGATGAGTTACACCCTCCTCCTAGCCCATCCAGAAAAAAATTCTTTCTCTGAAATCCTCTTGCTTTGAGCCACACCACTGCAAAGGCATCACTTTACTTTTTTCAGAAAGAGATTTCACTCTAATTGGTACATGTACAAAGAAAAATGTCCTTGTTTGCAATAGGCAAATTCTCTCGAAAAACCTACAACCACACACCAGCTTTTAAGAAAATAAATGGAAACAATGAAACTGAATGAAAACATCTTCCCAGAAGGAAAAAAAAAAAAACCTCTGCTGTGTTTTTGAGTGCTTACTCTAACACCAACTCTTACAAAATATTTCCTCAGAGAAATAAACACTAAATGGTTCCTTTTCACCCCACCACTCATTAAAAATAGCCTCCAGCATTCTCACAAATAGTAAGCTATTTTATTGGTCCATGGAAATTTCTATTAAAGGCAAGAGATAACTATAGAATTCAAACAATTAGGGCAGATGGATAAAACAATTGCCCAAAACTTAAAATAGTTTCCTATGAATATTTTATTAGTAGTAGTGTTTTGGTAGATACTTCTCAATAATTCACAACAGATGCTCAGCAACTGTCACCCTCAATGTCAGAAAGTAGCAAAACACTAACCAAGAAGCACAAATTGTTCTGCAATTCCAACAGAAATACACAAAAATAAAATGGTAATTTCAATAATATCAATAATACCAGCATACGTTATACCAAATGAGGCACCAGTTTCATTCCCTTGCTGCTTATAAAACAAAAAGGCAACAAATAAATTAAGTCCATTTGCTGCATAAAAAAAGCCACATCAAATAAATGATGGTGATGAGCACTAAAGCATCCATCTCCAATTTCTTCACTTCCTTTTTCGGAATGTCTAATACAGAGAAGACATGAATTACACAGCATTCTGTCATTATCAATGACTGTGCTGACTACATTCTGAACCATGACAGGAGTGCTCCTGGCATTAAATACTGGATAGAATTACTGGTCTAAGCTGGAGATGTTCATGACTCCATCTATTTCTGGTGATATGTTTCTATTTTAGATTTGGGAATTTGCTTACTCTTCTTTATATGTGTTTTATTTCTGAGGGCATTTGTGTTTATATTTGCCCTTGTTCTAAATCATGTTCAATTTGCATGCTTCTTTAAAAAAAAATCTTTATGCATTCCTACCAGGTTCAGGAGGGAATGCTGCTAACATATGGGTACATATGGCTAGAGGACAAACACGTGTAGTAATAAAACAGAATCATCTTATAAAAGGAAAAAAAGAATGAAGCCTTTTTAGGTACAGAGGGAAAATGTAAACCTGTTCCCTCTAAATACACACAAATTCTACATTCCTGTGCAAAATGTGTATGACCATTTATACAAAAGCTCTCTCTAATGTATAGTTTTATTATTTCAGTAGTTAGCAGAATTCAGAAGTTATCCATTTTAATAACCAGCTTCTTTGTTGTTACACACACACACACACACACACACACACACACACACACACACACACACACACACACACACACACACTCCATCTCCCATTTCCTGCCGTTTTCACTGGCTTTCTCCAATGCCTGGAACTCTCTCTCCCTCCTCATTTAGGCCAACTGGCTTCCCTGGATTCCTTCAGATCTCAGCTAAAACCCCATTGCTGCAAATTCCAGGTGTGGGAGATAGCCAAGGGCATGTGCTTTGCTCTCCTTATTGTTCTGAGCCCAGGGATGTGGGCTCTTCTAGCAAAAATGCAGATATTTGATTAAAAACTATTGAATGGCATGAAGAATGGCTGTGATTTATTTTTCTTACCATTTCTGTGGGTGAGACATGCCATAAAGAGACAGTTCTCTCCTCTGCCTCCTTGTTTATGGAAACATAAGAAGGCTGGTAGACTTTAGTTGGCTCGATCACTAGAACCTGAAATGAGAACAAATATTTGTAATCTATGGGAACATGCAGCAATAGTCATTACACTTATATAATTGTAAATACATACACATACATATAAAAATATATAAAATATATACTTAAGCATTATACTATAAAGCTTCAGGAGAATCTGTTCTAACTTCAAAAAACAAGGAAGGAGCAATCATTGACTTTCAGGCACCAAGCACTTGCAATAAGGGCAGAAAATGAAAAAATTAGCTTTGGCCTCTCCTGCCTTTATGATGCAAACCAAGCACTAATTGGGTGCTAAGACTTCTTATCCAATTGTTGTTCAGTCCTGTCCAACTGTTGGTGACCCTGTGGACTTTAGCACACCAATGGAGTGTCCATAGGGTTTTCTTGGCAAAGACACTGGAGTTATTTGCCATTTCTTTCTTCAGCTAATTTCACAGATGAGGAAACTGAGGCAATCAGGGTTAAGTGACTTGTCCAGGGTTACACAGCTAGGAAGTATCTGAGGCCACATTTGAACTCAGGAAGATGACTCTGCCTGACTGCCAACTCTATCCACTGCACCAGCTAGCTGCCCACAGCTATTATTATTAGCTGGCTATTATTACTGAATCTCTTTAGGTCTTCGTCTCCTCATCTGTAAAATGAGGGGCTTAGACTAGATGACTTTTCTTCTGCATGACAGTGAAGAATTCTGAATAAAATGTACCCAAGGGCACAGGTAAAACCAGGGATGTTCTGGGAGATGTTCAATAACCGGCTTTCTGAAAACACAGGATACAATTTTAAGTTTTTGTTAACATTTTCTTCATCTTATTAAATCTAGACAATTAACAAGACAAGAAATCAATCCTTGATTTGTAGCCTTCGATGGTTTTCAAGGTGTAAGTCCTCAAACCTTTTAACACTCAGGATTCCGTCCGACTCCAGCACACCCCTGGGAAACCATCAGACTAGAAACACCTTGAAGGCAGGGGGCTACCCCACGTTAGCATCTACAACAATTGGTTGTAACATCACATGAACTTACTTTTTAAAAAAGTCTAATGAATAAACTTTAACACTTTTCCTAATTATTTTAAAGCATATTCTTGAATATATCTTTCAGAATTTTTAAAGCGGGAACACCTTTACCCAATCCAAAAACCATGTGAAATGTCTCAAAGAAATGGATTTTAGAATATCATACCGGAAATCTCAGTCCATTCGTGATTTCCTTTGTTGCCTCAAAAATTATATCCAACCAAAAGTTAAGCAGCTCCTGTCTATGAGAGTGTTCAATGGTGAGTTTCTTAAAACGCTGAATTAGCTGCAAGTTCTGAACTAATGACCGCAGATACCTATAGGAAGAGAAGCATAAGGAAATTAGACCCCCTCAGGAAAAAGAATTTAATTATACCTGAGGTTTGATTTTTACTGAGTCGTGAGTCCATCTGCATAGGCAGGTTCCTGGCAAAAGTCTTATTTTTTAAGAGACTTCATAAGGATGCTCTGTGTGCCTTTCTTGGTGATATATTCAAGTGAAAGGACCAAAAGGTAAAGCTAATTGTAAGTTCTCTTACCTTTTAATGAAATTTGAGCTGAGAATAAATATTCCCTGAGTAGATATCCTAACTGCCCTGTTTCAAGTAATGAATGCAAGCTATTCTTTGTCTCTTTACCTCTGGAAAATGGATTTTGTTTTCTTGCTAGAGGGGAGAGGGTTGTTTGTCCTTCATTCTGAAGGGGACCAATGATGTCACAAGGGTGATGTCAAGCAAAGGAAATGACTTTGAAGAGATCAGTCCTCCTGGTCTAGAGAGGAAGCCTCCAAGTTTCTCCCTCTTGGTTCTGGATGTTCTCAAAAGACTGAAGAGGCTGGTTTGGTTCAGGAACCAAACTCTAGGACCCTTTGACCAAGAAGGCTCAACCCTGGGCTGTCTTGTACAAGAGAGGTGGAGGAGATTGCATCATTTGCTTTAGTGTGTCTGTTTACCTCACCATCCCTTTCTTCTCGAATGCTCTGTTCTGTTCTTGGGGCTCTTTACTTTTGTGGGCCTGATGAATTTGGAAAGGTCAATAGTTTAAGGGTCTAAATTGAAAGCATGGAGGGCCCAGAAAGAGCAAATGCACACTTCCCCCTAACCTATTCCAAAGTAGATCTTAACAGAAGGACTGTATTGGTTACACTGGCTTCCATCTTCCTTTAACAAAGAATTCAGAATGCCAAAGCAAAGATGCACCATCGTTTCTCATGACTGAACCTTTTCCTAATAATAATAGCTAAGGTTTATATAGCACCTCCCATGTGCCAGGCATTGTACTAATCAATTTACAATTATTATCTCCTCTGATCATCACAACAACCCTGGGAGGTGGGTGCTATTATTATCTCCATTTTACAGATGAGGAAACTGAGGCAAACAGAGGTCAAGTGACTTGCCCAAAGTCACACAGCTAGAAAGTATCTGAGGCTGGATTTGAACTCAGGTCTTCCTGACTCCAGGCCCAGCACTCTATCCATATCAGAACATCATGAACAAAGAGAGCTGGTACTTGATAACTACAGACCTATGGCACTCACCAGATTGGAGGTTTGAGTTTAAATAGCCTCTCTGCTGCTTGCACTGCTTTCCCTATGTCATTGGCCAACATGCTCACGTTGAAGAACTGACCAACATCCCAGTAATTGTTCATTTTTTCCAAGCTTCCTTTTCTTCCCAGCAAACTATTCAGCCGGACACCTTAGAAGTTTCAATTTTAGTCAAGATTAGTTCATATAAACAAAGACATCAAGTGAACAGAACACTGGGTTCTGAGTTGGATCACGGTTTGAGTGAGGATTCCACCTTAGTTGCTAGTGCTGTGATCCTGGGCAAAGAATTAGACCCAAGTCGCAGTTTCTCATCTATAAAATGGGGATAATAATATCTTCTCTATAGAGTGTTGTTGTAAGGATCAAACAATGAAATTTGAGCTGAGAATAAATATTCCCTGAGTAGATATCCTAACTGCCCTGACTCAAGTAATGAATGCAAGCTATTCTTTGTCTCTTTACCTCTGGAAAATGGATTTTGTTTTCTTGCTAGAGGGGAGAGGGTTGTTTGTCCTTCATTCTGAAGGGGACCAATGATGTCACAAGGGTGATGTCAAGCAAAGGAAACGACTTTGAAGAGATCGGTCCTCCTGGTCTAGAGAGGAAGCCTCCAAGTTTGTTTTTATGGTAAACCGTCAGTGTGAGTTATTAGTACTAAAAAAGATAGGATAGGGACTGAACCAGTGATTCCACTGCTCTAGGGAACTCCCAGGTGAGGAAGCTCCATCCCTTATCAATGCAGATCAGCACCTTCTCTGTGACTTAAGTCTTAATGAGTTGCCCAGAGCAACGAGAGGTTAAATCAGTTGCCCAGGGTCACCCACAAAATATGTGTCTGAAGTAGGACTTGAATCTCCATGTCTTCTTGGTTTTGAGGCTGTCTCTTCATCTCTTATGCCATATTGTCTCTCTACTATTCATAAAGTCTAAGTTATTGGGATCCTGTGATGTTCAGTCTAGTCATTTAATTCAACAAGCATTTAAGCACCTACTACTACACAAAGCCCTGTCCTAAAGCATTCACTAAGTGCATACTATGGCACAAGGCACTGTGCTAAATGCTAGGGAGGCAAACATAAAACTAAAATTGTCCCTTTCTTTATGGAGCTTACATCATTCCAGGGAAGGAAAATGGGGCAAATACATGTACAAGGAAGAATAAATATGAGATAATTTTAGGAGGAGAGTACCCTAACAATAGGCTTCCCATGGAAGAGGGCCCCTGAAATTATGCCTTGTAGAATTCTAAGAGGTCCATGCACAGGTGAGGAGGAAGTGCCTTCCAGTTAAGTGCAAAGATCCAGAGGTGGTAGATGCACTTCCAATCTCACAAAACAGCTAGTGGGTCAGTCTGGCAGGAACTTACAGTGCTTAGTGAGAAATAATGTGAAGTAAGTCTGTAGCTCTAGCTAGAGACTGTAAACATCAATTTGAAGACTTTTACATTTGTTCCTAGAGGGAAGATTCTTGAGGAGAGTGGCAGAAGCTGTGCTTTAGAAACGCAGATAATGGATTGTAGAAGGGTGAAACTAGGAGGAGGGAGACTGAGTAAGAGACTGTTCCATTTGTCCAGGTGAGAGGCGATGAACACACAAGTTAGCGGGATGGCCATGTGAGTGGAAAGAAGGAAATGGATTTGAGAAATCTTCTGGAGGCAGATGTGGTACCTGATTGGATATGGAGGAGTGGGATACAAAGAGAGGGAAGAATGACTCTGACGTTGTAAACCTGGGCAAATGAGATGCGAGTCCCCTATCAGATTGTGGAAAAGGCAGTTTTTAGTCAGGTGATTGCCCATGCTGTTGGGATTGTTGTTATTATTCAATCATCCATGTCTTTGTGACCCCATTTAGGGTTTTCTTGGCAGAGATAATGGAGTGGCTTGCCATTTCCTTCTCCAGCTCATTTTACAGATGGAGGAAACTGAGGCAAAGAGAGTCAAGTGACTTGCCCAGGGTCACACAGCTAGGAAGTGTCTGAGGCCAGATTTAAACTCAGGAAGATGAGTCTTCCTGAATTCAGGCCTGACATTCTATTCACTGAGCCACTGCTTTTAGGTTACCAAAGGGCAAACGATACATCACTTTCTGTAATACACAGCTGGTTGTGAGTGATTTGCATTTTTTTTTGTTCAAAAAACTGACTTACTAAAAAGAATATCAAAATGAGACTCATAAAGAGCTTTACCTATTTTCCTCAGTTCCATAGAAGTTTCAAATTGTTGTCCAGCAACTATCAGCAAAACAGCCAGATTAATTCCAGAGTAAAGAGACGACTGGAGCTCAAATCCTTTTCGGTACCTACGATGACAAGCACACCAGTATTAACCATAGCATTTTCTCCTACTGAACTACTGACTTGAAGAACAAATTTAAATGAAGAAAAGGTCACTATCACTCAAAGATTTTCTCAAGCTCCCTCTTCATGTTAACCAAATAACAAAACTATTAGTGTCAAACACCTTTCATATCTTCGAAACTGGTAAAAAAATATTCAAAGGCAGCCACCAAAAATCATCCTCTTCAAAGTTAATTGGGGTTTTTTTGGCATAAATGATTAACTCGCCTATGTCATCCAACCAAGCTGTCTGTTACAGCAGTACAACACAAAGCAGCTTCCCCTTTTTTCAACACACAGTTGTGGGGGGAGGGGGTTTTCCCCCCACATGTATAGACATACTATGACTCAATTAGACAGGATGTCTACATTAGATTTTTTTTTTTTGTCTGTGTCTACACTAAAAGGGCAGCTAGGTGATGCAGTGGATAGAGTGCTGGGCCTAGAGTCAGGAATACTCATCTTCCTGAGGTCAATTCTAGCCTCAGATACTTCCTAGCTGTGTGACCCTGGGCAAGTCATTTAGCCCCAGTTGCCTCAGTCTCCTCATCTACAAAATGAACTGGAGAAGGAAATGATAAACCACTCCAGTATCTTTGCCAAGAAAACCCCAAATGGGGTCACAAAAAGTCAAAAACAACTGAACAACAATAAACATTGAAAAGTACTTCCAAAAGCACTATTATGATTATATTTTCAGAATGCTTTCTTTCTTTTTATTACTATCATAGAGATAGAACCGAAAGAGATTTAAGGGGCTTATCTAGTCCATTTTACAGATGAAAAAACTGAGGTCTGAGGAAGATAATTGTCACTCAAATAATAAGTGTCAGAGGTGGGCTTTAAAGGCAAGAGTCGGTATTCTGAGCATCAAAGTCAACCCAAATTCTAGAAAGAAGCATTTTCAAAAAAATTCTTTTTAGTTTAATATACATATGTGACTCTGAGCAAGTCATATAACTTCCCAGTTCTCCCTGCCCCCAGACAACTAAGGATGAGCTGGAACATTTGAGGGAGTTTCCATACCACACAATCTCCACATGATGAAGTCACAGGTCTGCATTCTACCCACCCCACAAAAACAGAAGTACCTTATGAAGGGATGAGGAGAAGGAATAGCTCTGAAGATACATGTTTAAAGTCATTCCCACCCCCTCACCAATATTCACACTATACACACTTTGGGAATGAAATCATACAGAGGAGAGCTATCAATGGCATTCTAAGAATAGTCAGCCTGAACTCAGAAAGGGTTGGGGAATCCAGTTTTCTCAGAACCAAGTTGGTGACAGCCGAAACCATGGTGTCACTTTCGATACAGGCCTCTCTCAGGAGAGCTGAGGATCAGGCTTGGAAGTGTGGCACACGGTAAGAGACTTGGCTCCGTAGTCAAGTGGACCTGAATTCAAATCCCTCACCTGCCATCTGCTGCTGTGTGGGTTTTGGCAAACCATTTAATATTTCTGGGCCTCAGTTTCTCTGCTAAATGAGAGGGTTGGCCTCTGAGGTTCCTTTGATCTAAGATCCCACAAGGGGATGAATAGATTTCAGGTGAGGGAGTGGAGTTGGCAGACAAAAAAGAATGGCATCTTAATTTTCACTGCCCTCTAATTTAAATTTAGCATTTCCTTCAATTATATTAAAATAGTACCCTGAAAAAGGCCATACTGCAAAAGGGGTCAATGAGAAAAAAGCTGACGGTGCCGCAGAACAAATGAATAAAATCTAGGGTTTTCATGCCTGGTCACCTGGGGGTGAAGGAAGTGCAACCTGAATTAAACTTATGTGTGATTGCCAATTCACTTCACTGAGGATCACAGAGACTGTTATACACACCTGTCCTCTCTGCTCTGCCTTGTACGCATCTGCCTCCCCAACTCCCACCCTGACTCCTGAAATCCTGTGCATACATGGACACACACACACACACAGAGCCAAGGGGCCTAAAGACAAGGAAGGAATATGAATCCTGAATCATCTGAATGGAAATTGGGGGCAAAAAAAACAGAGGGCATGTCCTGATCCCTTTGATTCCTATGGTACTCAGGCTCAAGAACTCCTACTTCTACCTCTGATAATGTTGTTTGTTTGTTTGTTTGTTTGTTTTTGAGGCAACTGGGGTTAAGTGACTTGCCCAGCATCACATAGCTAGTAAGTGTCTGAGGCAGGATTTGAACTCAAGTCCTCCTGATTCCAGGGCCTGTGCTCTACCCACTGTGCCACCTAGCTGCCTCAATAATGAAATTTTTAGTAAGTCTATTGTTGTAAAGCATCCTTCTCATTAACAGAGTTATTAACTATATGAAAGACTGAAGACAGTGATCCACCAATATTCTAGAGCACCCATGATGAAGAATGCTGCCCACCTCATGACAGGGAGATGACAGCCTCATAGACCGTACCTTGTATAACCCTGCATTCGATCCTTCCAATAGCACCTACTGAGCTCCACCGGGGATATGTTACTATTCCACTTGACAGATGGGGACACAACACTACAATGAATTTAATTAACCTTCCCAAGGATATACACAGCTAGTTAGTGATGAAGATGACACTAGAACCCAGATCTTCTGACTCCTAAATAAATCTCTCAATGACAAAACATAGTATGGAACTGAATGCTGTGAAACAATAATTTTTTAAATAATAGTAATAGATAGTAATTACATTGTGTGCTCTAAGGTTTGCAAAGGGCTTATTTGATACAATAATCCTGGGAGATAGGTGCTATTATCTTTTCCCTTTTCAGATAAGGAAACTGAGGCATGAGGAGATTAAGTAACCTGGCCAGTGTTACTTAACAGCCAGTTAAGTGTCTAAAGCTGAATTTGAACTCAGATCTTCCTGACTTCAGGCCCAGCAATCTCTCCATTTTACCTATAATTTTTCCCATAATGATCCCAGAATGACCCAAAAGAGAGAAAGAAGAAAACTCCTCCCTCCAGCTCCTTTGCAAAAGTTGGGGGTGGAAAGCGGGGGACCCATAAGTGTGAAATATTGTGTATAACATTTTACTTTTTTTAAATATGTTGATTAATTTTGTGGAACCACAAATTAATACTATGTTCTATTGTACTTTTACTTTTATTTATTTTGTTAAATATTTCCCAATTACATTTTTTATCTAGTTCGGACAATACAGGGGCCACATTGTTTGACACCATTGAGAAAACTCAGGCAGAAGTTAAGTGACTTGCCCAGGGTCAAACAGGTAATAAAATTCACAGCTGGATTTTGAAACTAGGTCCTCTGATTCCAGACCCCACCATCCTCTGCACTTTAAGTATGTTTCTCAATCAGCAGCTACAGACAATAAAACCCACAGATGTTGTCATTGTTGTTGTTCAGTTGCTTTTCAGTCACATCCTTCTCTTCATGATTCCATTTGGGTTTTCTTGGCAAAGATGCTGGAGCTATTTGCCATTTCCTGCTCCACTTCATTTTACAGATATGGAAGCTGCAACAAACGGTTAAGTGACTTGCCCAGGGTCACACAGCTATTAAATGCCTGAGGCCAGATTTGAACTCACAAAGATGAGTTTTCCTGACTCCAGGCCTGGCACTCAATCCACTGCACCACCTAGTGTCGGTGAATCTATGCAATTCCATCACCTTACATGTAAAGTAGAAATTGATTTGAAACAGAATTTAATCTCACCATTCAATGGCAGAGTCCCTGCTTTCCACATCCTTGCAGTCTGAATCAAGGAATATGTCCTTATAGATTCTCCCACACAGGCAGAACATATCTGGAGCAGGATGATCACAGGTTTGGAGAACCTGAAGCATCACTTGCAGTGCTTTCCCTCGGTCACCGGCATGGTTTCTCCTGAAACACATTCATGTGTCATCATGAGAAGCTGGTGGCAAGCAAAGATGATTTTTCATTTTAAACTTGCCCTAAAAGCTTCTGCATACCCTTTGATCCAGCAAAACCACTGCTAGGTCTATATTACCAACTCGTAAAAAAAAGGGAAAAAGACCTATTTGTACAAAAATATTAATAGCACCTCTTTTTGTGATGGCTAAGAATTGGAAATCAAAGGGAAGCCTATCAAAGGGAATGGCTAAACAAGCTGTGGTATATGATTGTGATGGGATATTATTGTGCTATAAGAAATGACAAGCAGGATGATTTCAGAAAAACCTGGAAAGACTTACACAGTAACAGCAATATTGTATGATGAAGAGCTGTCAATGACTTAGCTATTCTCAGCAACACAATCCCAAAGGACCAATAATGTAGCATACTATCCACCTCCAGAGAAAGAACTGATATTGTTTGAATACAGACTGAAGCATGCTCTTTTTCACTTTCCTACTTTCTTTTTCTTTTATTCAAGACTTTTTTGTACAAAATGACTAATATGTAAATGTTTTACATGATTGCACATGTATGACCTATTCTGATTGCTTACCATCTTGGGCAAGGAGGGAGAAAAGGTGAGATAGAATTTGGAATTAAAAACTTAAAAAGCAAATGTTAAAAACTGTTTTAGCATGTAATTTGGGAAAAAATAAAACATATGCTAAAAAAAAAAACCTGCCCTAGAACCACAGTTTTGGTCTTCTGCTTAAACAAACAAAAAAAGCAATAACCTGTTTTCCTTTAAAAAAAAATATCAAATATATGAAGATTCAGACACTTATTAAGCACCTACTATGTGCCAGTTTCTCCACAATGGGGATAGAAGAAGAAAAATTCAAGCTTCTGCCCTTAAGGAATTTACATACTAAAAAGAAAGAAACTTATATACACACATTCATATACACATCTATACATATATCAATCGCTGCTGTTCAGTTGTTTCAGTCGTGTCTGACTCTGTGTGACTCCATTTGGGGTTTTCTTGGCAAAGATACTGGAGCAATTTGCATTTCCTTTTACAGCTCATTTTACAGATGAGAAAACTGAGGCAAACAGGGTTAAATGACTCGCCCAGGGTTGCACAGCTAGTAAGTATCTGGGGCCAGATTTGAATCCACAGATATGAGTCTTCCTGACTCCAGGCTTGGTGCTCTACCCACTGTGCCACCTAGCTGTGCATGTATGTGTGTGTGTGTGTGTGTGTGTGTGTGTGTGTGTGTGTGTATAGGTATGTATAAGTATATATGCACATGTATACATATACACATATATACATTATGTGTATACATATATATGCATGTATAGATATACAGATGTGTGTATACACATGTTTTGCCCAGAGTCACATAACTTGTGCCCAAAGCAAAATTCAAACTTGGGTCTTCCTGACTTGGTGACTCTATCCACTGTGATACCTAATTACTTCATTCTAATGAGATTATGTGGCAGCTGATTTTATCCATATTCTTGATTTGGACCCTCCCCAATGCACCTGATGCTTCCTTTCTCTATTCATGAGACTGATTCCTATTCATTCAGTCTACAAATTGTTCTCCTGATGAAGAGTCCATTTTCTCCCCGCTTATTCATTCAGTAAAGGAAGCCAACCCCTAACCCCAACTGAATCAATTTTGCTGAACATTTTTAACAGATGACATTTATCCTCAAGCTAATCTCTGGATCCTATGGAGAAAAAAAGTGAAAGAGATTAAATGCTTAATGAGGTACAAAATTTCTACATCTGCTATGAGTCAAATTTTTTTAAAGTGTCCAGTGTTCAGGTTTATGAAAAGGCTGCATTAACCTTCCTGAACTTCTTAGTTGTTAATGTGATTTTAAGCCTTTGGGGTCTAGTTACATCTAAATTTGCCCCACCTTATTCCTTAATTTGAAATTTACTCTTTCCATTCACAACAAAAGGTCATTTGAGGTTGGAGAAACACACACACACACACACACACACACACACACACACAACACACAAACATTTGCAAGGGAAAAAGCAACTTTTCAGTTAAAAGCCACTTTAAGGAGAGCTGCTAAATAGTCTAATCCCCTCAGAGATTAACAATCCACTTTGCTTATCTGCTTATGATTTCCAGACCCCAAGGTATCCAAGAACAAGCCAATATTTCAGAACTGTTGTGTTTAATCAGTCACCAATGCAAGTGGTAGCCAGTTTGTGGTAACATGAGAATTTTGTCAATTAATAGAAACCGACGAACTAAGATCTACTCTACTGAAAAATGGTTTACACAAGCTCCTGAGCAACCTTGATGACCCTTCTTCTCCCTTTTTTCTCCAGCTTTCCCCCATTCTCCACCCAACAAAAATTCTTAATAAAAGTTAATGAGCAACAGGAGGTAGGTGGTTTATATTCAGCTTATGTTGGGGGGATGGGGGGGAATGAAGGGGAAACTATAGTTTTTCAAAGTTTTGGTTTTATTGGGTATCCTATAATAAATGGCCTAGGAGCCAAAAGACGAGTTTGAGTTCAGCTGGGTAACCTGAGGCAAGTCATTTAAATTCTTTTGAATCCCAGTTTCCTTATTTGTAAAATATGATAATAATGGCAACCCTTGCCCTCTTCAACAGGGCTCTTATAAGAATTAAAAGAAACACTTGGAAGCACTTTCTAAACTATGGGCTATTTTTACAATCCATGGAAGAAGAAAAGAAGAGAATATGCCTTTCTTTTTTATTTTTCTTGCTTTTTTTTTTGCAACATGGCTAATATAGAAATATGTTTTACATAACTACATATGTATAATTGATATACTGTTTGCCTTCTTAATGGATAGGGAGGGGCTGGAGGGGAGGCAGAGAATTTAGAATTCAAAAATTTTTAAATGAACGTTAAAAATGGATATATAATACATTTTTTAAAAATAAAAAAAAAGGAATGGAGTCAGAGGATTTGGGGTCCAAATCCTACTGTTACCACTTACCACTAGTGAGATCTTAAGAAAATCAACTAACTTCTAAGAGTCTTAGTTCTCTTATCTGTAAAAATGAGAGAAGCTAGGTGGCACTATGGATAGAGTGCCAGGCCTAGAGTCAGGAAGACTTATCTTCATGAGTTCAAATACAGCCTCAGATACTAGCTGTGTGACTCTAGGCAAGTCACTAAATCCTGCTTGCCTCAGTGTCCTCATCTGTAAAATAAGCTGAGGAAGGAATGGCAAACTACTTAAGTATCTCTGCCAAGAAAACAAGAGTTGGACACAACTGAAAAACAAAAATGACAGGGTTAAACTCAATGGCTTCTAGGGCTCCTTTTAGCTCAAAAGCTATGAATCTGTAAGGGATACTGTCTACAGGAGTGAACAAATTCCCAGATAAAAATCCGTGGTCATTCAACTTTTTATCAAAATTATAAATTCCAGAAGTCAGAGACCATGTCCCCTAAAATGTCCTTTGAACATATTTGCAGTTGTCTAATAAATATCTGTCAGGTGATGGGTTGTTCTATTCAATTCCAGGTCTGTCACAGGTGGTCACGCAGGCCCCCTGGATTCTGCTTATTTCAGCCTTTTGATCATCACGTCTTGATAGTAAAACCAATGCCTGATTCAACTTTAGTGGAATGTGACCAAATGATTGCTCCAAATGCAGGTAAGAGAGACTACCTGAAATCCAACTCCTCTTCATTCTTCTTTAGAGAACAAAAGAATGAGCTCTGGACAGTTTTTAGCAAGTACAGTAAAAGGAGTTGGCTGTTAGAAAAGAAAATCGCTTCCAACCGCTTGAATCTACCTACTGACGAGCAGAGCTTCTGGCTGAAGCAGCAAGTCTGCTAATTTTACATCAGCTTATTTGCCAGAGTCGAAGAAATCACACAATCACCCAAGGGAAGCTCTTCTGACTCTACAAATGAAAACTGGCTAAGGCCACATGATGCAAATACTATCAGTGTGTTCTACTCATGATGTTTCAATCCCTAACCTTTCTTCAGTCTGAACTTAAATGAGCTGCTTTTACTTACAACTGAGCAGTGTCTTCCAGGAGAAATAAGACTTATATGTCATTGGTCGACAAAAAGTTCAGGCCAGGTCATCAGCGGCTGTGAATGGAATGACCCGCTGACAGCTCTGTTGATGTTGAGTGGAATGTGCCTGACCTACTAGTGCCATTAGTAAAATCCTGATCCCAGTGTGTCATCAGGGCAAAAAGGAGAAAGGCTACCTTGGTATAAAAAAGGTCAACTAAATTTTTCTCCCTTTTGGAACCCAGTGGAAATGTACATCCTAGTTCAGAGTTTAGGTACTTTGCCAGCAAAAGCTTGTCGCATTTGTAATTGAAGAGGGCATGGGTTCAAATCCTGACTTGGTTGTCTACTACCTGTGTGACATTGGGCCAGTCACTTAAGCTCTATCTCAATTTCCTCCAATGAAAATGGGGATAATAATAGCATCTACCTCTCAGAGGATTGTTGTGGGAATAAAAATAAAGAAATATTTATACAGCACTTTCCCAAACTTAAAGCACTCTATAAATGTGAGCTATCATCATTATTATTTTTATTCTAGGGTCAACATCTTCTTAGGTAAATTCTTTCAGTGATTCCTTCTAATCATCCTAATCTTGACTCCCAGAATTCTCTCAAAATGCCCACTGAGCTAAAAATGACTTTCTGAACCATCACAGAAACTCTCTCCCCTTCACCATTCAAACACCTCCTCAAACCCCACCTACCCCTTCCCAGTAGTCTTCCCCAACTAACTGAAAGAGGAGATCCCTCTGGAAGTCCCACTTCCATGATGCCTTCTTTCCTCAACACTCAGCACATATAATGTAAACAACTGCTCAATTGATTCTTAATTTGTCCATATGATTGGGGGGCAGGCAGGAGGGGGCATTCCAGACCTGTGAGTTCATACACACAGGGAGAGTTGCAGCAAGTAAATTCTTCTACCAATTCAAAGCAGCAATTGTTCTGCAAATTAGTCTTAAAAGAGTTT